TATGAAAATAAAACTATTGTTTTAGAACGGACAAAAATCATAAACAAGACTATTGTATTGAGACGGAGAAAGAATTTTTTATTATTTTGAATATATATATATAATATTGGGCTGTTTGGAATAGCTATGACAAGATATATAATTAAATAATAAAAAGTATAATATCTTGTCTTTTTAAAAAAAAAATCAAATCAAATTCTGCAATTGGTTCATTTGCCGAAAGTAGATTTTAATATTATTATTGAAGGTAATTATTTATTTATATATAGCAATTTTCTAATTTAAATTGATTATATTTTCTTTTTTCGTTTTTGTCGGTATTTGTTTTTTTTGTCATGAGTTAATTTATGTACTTTATTTATCATTCAATTGTGTGCTTATATGATCGGATATAAATTTTAAGAAAAATAGGTAAAAATAATTTTTTTTACTTTTTTGGATAAAAAAATTTAAAAAAGATAATATTTTGTTACTAAAAAAAAAATAAATAAATTTGAATAACAATATATATATATATTTGGCTGATGGAGGGAGTATATTATTTTTATAATAAAATATTTTATCTATCTACAATTTTATTACTGATGCCTCAACAAATAATAATAATTCTGTTAGTATTTTTTATACTTACTTTACTATGCTTTTATTAACTCATTAATAAATTTGAATAATATTTTTATTTTAGTTTTTCTCTATTCTATTTTAATATTATAATATAATTATTTTTTAGATTTCGTGGTCTATTCTATTAAAATATTATAAAATATTCTAAAACAAATATTCTCTTCGTCCCATCGAAAGGTTATCATTTTTCATTTTTGTTCGTCCCAAAATAAGGTTATTATTTCCTAATTTAGTAATTGTACTACCTACCTAACATAATAAATACCCTCCCAACTTACACTATATTACACAAATGTCATTACTTTTATATTACACAATACTAATAGAGGTATTTTCGTTTTTTTCACAACAACCCATTATAATACTAATATTAAAAAATTTACGTACAAAAAGTAAACGGCAACCTTATATCGGGATGGAGGGAGTATTATATGTCCTAATCATTTTGGTTAATGCAATAATTGTATTATTATTGTCATTGAAATTAAAATTTGGGATTATTGCGAAAATGAAATTAAGCCAACCTTCATTAATCCTTAGAAAATGAAACCCCAACAATTTAACCGCAATCATTATTCTTAATATAATAATTTTATACAAATAATTTTTAATAAAAATATATTATCTTTTATTATAAACATCATATGAAATTGCTATTTCATAAACTAAAAATACAAAGGGTGTGTTTGTATGACTGTTTTTTGATTTTTTAATTATAAGATTCTAAATTGTATAACAATTTTTTGATCTGATATCTTAATGTAATATATAAAATTTAAAAACAAAAACTATAAAAAAAATATGTGCTTGATTTAACATTTTGTCAAAAAATAAAAAATAAAAATAACTGAATTAAAAAAAATCTTGAAAATGCATTAAAAAAACACAACCAAGCACACTTCCAAAAATAATTGAATAATAAAAATCTTGAAAATGCATTAAAAAAAACACAACCAAACACACGTCCAAACCAAACCCATCCATACATGACATATGGAGTAATCATATTATATGAGAATATATACATATTTAATATTTTTGAGTTCTTATTTCAATTTTTTTTTTTTTAATTTGAAATTGATTTGAAATACTTATTTCTCATAACAAAGTATTCATTTTTTTCATTTTGGTCTGTCACATAATAAAATATTCATTTCTTTTTTTTTTTTTTAAGTAAATATACTATCTACCTAATATTACAAATACCTTTACAACTTCCAATATATTACACAAATATCATTACATTTATATCACACAATACTAATAAGGTCATTTTAGTCATTTCTAATTTATTTTTACTATATCTCAATATAATACTAATATTTCTAAAACTCCGTGCAAAAAAAAATAGATACATAGTTATGAGACGGAGAGAGTATAATGTTTGACTTTAATTTTTGTTTAAATAGTTGTTTAATGTCATATTATATAAAAAAAATAATATATTTTTATTGAAAGATATGTCAAAGGCATAATTTTGTTTTTAATGTTTATTTGGAAATATTTAAAAAGTTAAATATTTTCTTGTGTTTATAGTTTGAGTTTATCTTCCAAATTTCATTATTCGGACAATCTAATCTTCCAAAATATTTTTTCCGTTTCATGTTAATTGACATATTTCTTTTATTTTAATTTGTCCCACTTAAATTGACATATTTCTATTTTTGATAAAATTTACTAAATTAAAATACATTTAACAAATACTCTCTCCGTTCTATTTCAAAAATACTTTTTAACTATTTTTGTTCATTCTACTCAAAAGTATCTATTTCATATTTTTAAAAAAATAATAGTACACTAATGCACAATTTTCAATAAAAATACATTACTCCGTTCGTCCCACATAATCTGGTTCTATTTTTTATTTTTGTCAGTTCCACGTAATTATACACTTTAATTACATTTTAAATTTTAAATTTTTTAAATCTTAATTAAACTATTTAGTTATCCTAATATATAATTATTTTTACTATACAATAATTATTTGTAATAATACACTTTTTAATTACTTACCAATTATATTTTACCTAAATTATCGTATTTACAGTAATAGATTCATATTACATGGGACAAAGGGAGTATTTCTTTCATATATAAAATATCGAATTAGAATGCTATTTAAATAAATTTCAAATTAACACCTCAGTTCAAAATAATTTTAATCACAACCAAACACATTCGGTTATCCGGTGTGTTTTTTTGGGAACTTAATATTTTTGTTGAGATTTGAATAATAAAAATTATGATAGAAAAATATATTTCATGCATGCTTTAATTTAACAAAAATATATATATATACAATAAATAAAATATACTAATAAACATGAAAATTGTATTATTTCCATCTTAACTTAATGTATGTATATATATATTTTATCATTTTTGTTTATTTTAGTAAAAAGTGTTTCCTCCGTTTCACATACTTTGTCTTTATTTTTTATTTTCGTTTGACTCACATAATTTATCATTTTTTTTAAAGATATAATTATACATTTTAATCAAATTTTAATTTCATAATTTATAATTTTTTAAATTTTTAATTAACATATTTAATTATCTTAATTTTAATATATAATTATTTTTATTGCACTTATTAATTACTTACTAATTATACTTTACATTTATAATAATGTAAACATATTATCCGAGATGGAGATAATATCATTTTTCTATTATAGTAAAAATAATAAATATACCAATAGTAAAATATTTTTAACTTTTTTAAACATATCATTTTTTTTACTTAATTATAAGAATAAAAATATCAATATCTTCTTAAGGGTGTGTTTGTTTGGGGGATTGGATTTGATTTATACTATTCATCCAATTTTTTTCCCCCAAAAATATCAAATCAAACACCTATTTTTTATTTTTTATATTATACTAAAAATCAATTTTACATTCAAAACATCACATCAACACTTATTTATATCACATCATACAACTATTCAAATTCAAAATTTTTACTATTTAAATCCCAACTCAAGATCCAATCCTCCAAACAAACACAGCCATTTGAATTAGAATTTCATAATTGATGCAATATAATTAAATTCTTTAGGAAAATGGTCCAAATTTGCACATACCGACATAAGTGATTACAAAATTAATTACATTATCCTGCCGACATTCGAAGTAACTCAAATTAAATCTCAAGTTAATATACATAAATATATATATATATATATTTGAAATTAAATTTTATGATGCTAAAAAATATTCGTACTAATAAAAAATCGATAGATTATAATAAAAGGGCATTAATTTATAGAAAAATGCTTTTATTATTTGTCTCGGTATTTTCGAATTTGTAAAAATGAAATATTGTTAAAATTTACTGTTCAATATATTTATACGTGACTTATCTTTTTCAACATTTATATTTTTCCGTCATTTAAATAAATAAGAATAAAAATAATTTACACTCAAATTACAATCCATATTAAAGTAAAAATCAAAACCAAAAGCTAAATATAAATAAGCAGCAGTCTATGTTACATACTCATTGTGTTTTTAATTCTGATGTTTTTTAAAATTAAAATAAATAATATTTTTGAAAATTAAAATAATAAAAAATAACAACACAAAAACACTCTTATCTTCATCATCCAAAACATTAACTAAAAACACAGACACGTCACTTTTTCTCATACCACAGGAGAATTTGTTATGAAAATGTAAAATAATAAGGGTAGGGTTCTATAACATTTTGCTGTAATTAATCAAATATCTTTACACATCACAAGTGAACATATGAAATATAAAATTAATAATACAATATTCATTAAATATAATACAAATATAACATATAAATTCAAATACATAACAATAATAATAATAATAATAATAATAATAATAATAATAATCACGAAAATCATATTGATCTTAGAACAAAAAATGTATATATGTTCGATACATTACATTTGTAAAACATAACTTACATATAATAATAATTTAGATAAAGTATAATTAGTAATTAAAAAATATATTAGTAAAAAATTATTATTCTATAATAAAAATAATTATAAATTAAAAATAAAATAAATAAATAATTTAATTAAAATTAAAAAAATTATTAATTATAAATATATAATTATATTTAAAAAATAAAATAACAAATTATATAAGACACGAGGAATAATAATAATAATAATAATGTAACAATTGAATCATCATTCTCTCACACACACATATATATATTATTATAAATTTGGTATATATTAAATCGGTGACAAATAATTGGCCCACGAAAACAGCTGGACCAGGCTGGAATTCTTGTGCTTTCAAGAGTTCTCTATTATTGATTTCAGACACACTTCTATTTCAGAAAAGCTGTATTCCCATTTCCTATAAATATATATATATTCCTCTAGGCTATTAATGCTCTATCCTATGTCCCTACAAACATAATGCAAATTGAGCAAGAACTGCAAATCAACATTGAACATATATATATATACATATAGATGTATGTATACATAGCCTAAAAATATCCCAGCACAGAACAAATTGAATGATTTAGAAACACAGGCAATCTTATAGTTAACTGGGCAGTAATTGAAATATGACTTACATGTTGATGCATGATGCCAATTTCGGGCGTGCCCGGGTGAAATCGGGTTGGTTCTGGTGTTGATTGAGCGTGTAGCCGTGTACGCGGTTTTGCTCTTCCTGGCCTCCAACCGAGCTAGATGGTTTGCTTCACCTGTTCATGTGAGAGAAGTGTTTAATGTTAAGATCGGTGAATTTGGTTCTAAAGAGCAGCGAAGATGAAGGGAGCTATATGTGTATGTTCCCGGCAATCTCCAATGGCCGGTTAAGAGATTCCCATGAAGAATAAAACGATCAAACTGCACGTCAACTGTGATTTCTGTTCATTGCACCGTCATTTTTACCCTATAAAATGGTGGGAAATGTTAGCTCAAGAGGTTAATCAAAATTTCATTTTGATCTGTAAATTCATCGTTACGTTTGCTAATAATAGTGTGTCGAATTGCAATTTAGGTACTGTAATGAGATAGCAAGAAGTTGAAAACAGTACCTTTGAATTTGTTGGCAATGGCAGCTATCCATGATCGATCTTTATCAGTATATGCATAATCGATGTTAGAAGCCAACAGAACAAAGCCATTGCTTTTCTCTGTTTCGCCGGAGCCTGGTTTCGAGGCTTCGAGGATAGGTTGCACAAGAACAGATCTCGTTCCCCGGGGAAAAATCTCCTTCAGTTCAGATTCTATCATTCACACATTTCACAGATATTAAGATACAAGAAAAATCTCACGACTGTTTTCGATTGATATCTAGAACTAAATTCCACAAATCAGGACTATAATCTGCAAGCGGCATACTGAGAAGATCAAAACAACTCAGATAAAAACATTCTCTTCCATACGGAAAATCTCATGATTATGAAAGATCAGTTAAGAAATGTTTTATATTCGTGATACTCAGCACAACACTATCTGCTAGAATAGATCTCTTGACGATAAACTGTCTTATTGCAGCACGAGTTCATCCAACTAATCAAATTTGAAAGATAACAATCCACGAAATCAAATTCATTAATAAAATAACCACCTTTCCGTATTTCCCTGAAAGTTTTCAATGATCTTCAACATTCTTAAACCTTGCGGAATTCTATTTACCTTAAGAACTTCTAATGGCGGCTTTATCATTAGTTTCTACTTTCTACTAAGTTGGGCCATTGTGTTAGTGAAATTTTGTTAGCCATACTTCCTATCATGTCGACATACTTTAAGAACTTGTGAAACTATAGGTTTTAGCTTATTAAGAACAATTTCTTCATGCTTGGCTCTCGAGACAGGTAAATGCGTTCGGGGTGAGTGTTCAGTAATCGCTTTGCAACTTATGTGAGCAGTCTAAATAAATACATCTACTTATACACTAGAAAGAGAAGTAAAATCCCCACCATTATTGAACTACCTTGCTCCTTTTAATATAACCTGTCGAAGGTATTTTGGTTTGAAATACATATAGACCATCACCGATAATTTGCATTAGTATAAAAGTGACGTACCAGCAGCCTGTTGAAAATACATAGAGTCCTTCAGGTAGGATAATCCAACCCTTCGAATCTGCTCTCTAAACCAATCTGAAACATCTTGTTTTTGTAAATCTTTCGGTATGTTCCAGTAGCCACGCACGCATAATGCATCGCCAACTGAGATGAGCTACAAGCTTCAAATAGTTAGAACTATTATATAATGAAAGCAAAGATACAAATTTCCACAACACAAAATTTGATAAATTGTTGTCCTGATTATAGGCAAATTCAATCTTCAATCAATACAAGATTTTTAGTATACGATTGCATCGTACCACTGATATGGAGTTAGTATTCCGCAACAGTGCATATGTTCCCCAAGCCAAATCTTGCTTCAAACTATCACTAATTTCCTGTGACATGACGAAGATCTGCTCGGAACCTTCTGGAATGGTTTTCGGTTCAGTTAGTTTAGCCCCCTGCATAGCCATAGCAATAAACATTTTACAGCTGAATGCAGTGGCCTATGAACCAGCTCAATACTCACATGGAAAAAGAAATTAACAAACATTAACTTATGCTCAAATCGATATACACAAACCCTATGATCACTACATTCTTCAAAATATCATAATTGTGCAGCCATGGCATCTTTGCTCATCTTTAAGAGTGGTGTTTGTGCATCAATCAAACAAGATATAGAACAGAACATATATATACATGCATTTGAGTATGAAAATCTATCCATCTCCTAACAATTCCATACCAAATAATTCGCGTCATTCTACACAATTCAGAATACACCATGCTTACCTTGAGAAATTTTCCAACATAAGGAACAAAAGCAGAAAATGCAGCCAGAGATAGCCCTAACGCCTCTGTTCTCTAAGAAAATCAAGTGTCGATTAAAAACACAGAATAGGTATATTACCAAAGCTTCAACCAAGAACAGAAATAACAATTTATAGAAAAACTAAAAATCGAACGCATTACAAGCTGAGCTGGGGCAATTGATGAAGAATCCGAACGCAGAAAATGATTCGCAACTAAAAGCGCCCCAAAAGCATACCCAATGTATCTTGGCAAGTAAGATTCGTCCAATCCAGGTATCCCTAACACCAAAGAAACCGCATTTACCAATCAATGGCACAAAAAATTGACAACTCACGCCGCTATAAAACAATAAATTGGCGAAACGGATACGCACCAAGTGTGAAGCGAAGAACTGATAAATTAACTTGCTGCTGAGGATTATTATCCTTTGAGCAGCAAATTTTCGCAATCAACAATGGTTTACGAGCACCAAATATCGATGGAAAGTCGAATTTTGCTCTAGATGTCGAGAAAACCAACGAATTGAAGGCCATATTTTGCCTGCAACGATGGCCGAGATGAATCAGATGAAAAATGCAATATGCAGAAATGGGTTTGTCCTGTAAAATCCTTTGGACAGAAACGAAGCTATTTGGGCCAGCCTATTTACTATTTGAATTGGGCTGTCAATTGTTTCCGAAGGCCCAAAATATTTGGGAGTAACAAGTATTTATTATGATTAATATAAATTAATTTTATTAAAAATAAAAAATTTAAATCTAAATAAAAATATTTGTTTATTAAAAAAAGATTGAAATAAAAAAGATTTTGAGTGAATCATATTTATCATATGTTATAAATTTATTAAATTGATTTATAGTATTTGATAAATATATGTAAGATAAATATATTTATTAAAAACAAAAATATGTCGGCTGTTATAAATAGGGGTGAGCAAAAAAAATCGAATTGAACCGTCGAACCGTTGAACTGAACTAAACCGAACCAAATTTTTGGTTAACCGAGTAAATTCGGTTCGAATACAAATACTACATATTTGATATTTGCTCGGTTCGGTTTCAGTTTTTTATATTTTTTTTCGGTTCGGTTAACCGAACCAAATATATTTATGTTATTATATTTTAAAAATTATATTAATAATTATATTCGGTTCGGTTTCGATTCAGATATTTGAAATATTTGCAAATATTTTGATTTAATTATAATTTTAATTATTTTTTTATATATTATTTTTTAATTTCGATTCGGTTCGAATTATTTGCAAAGATTTTCGGTTAACTTTCGGTTCGAATACGGATTACGATTTTGGGCATTTGTTCGATTTAGTTAAGATATCAGATACCTGCATATTTGCAAATATATAAACCGTGTCCACCCCTAGTTACAAACAACTTAAAATAAAAAATATGTAAATTGTTACATAAGAAAGAAAATATTTATTTTTGTTATATCTAATGTTAAATTTAACAAATATTTCACCTACTAATAATAATAATAATAAATATTCCCTCCATCAAAGTAAGAAGTATAAAAATAATAACTTTATACATTTATTTTTGGCATTAAGTTTAAAAAATAACAGTGAGTAGATAAAAGTAGTGTAATGACATTTTTGTCTTTGGTTTAAAAGTAATGAGTTGATATAAAGTAACAGAATTTATAGAAGAGAAGTGAGATATTTAATAAAAAAATTACTTTGTAATTAAAAGTCACAAAATATAAGAAATATATATACTTTTTAGAGACTAAGAAAATATTATCTTACATCTAAGTATATATTTATATTTTCATAATAAATTAATAAATAATAATATTGTATTAGTTAATAATAATAATTTTTATTTTTATTTTTATTTTTATTTTTATTTTTTATTTTTTATTTTTTCATATCGTGTTCCAATTTACAATTCTACGTTTGAAATTGGGTTTGATTCATATTTGGATTTGAAATTTTATAATACCCAAAACTCAATTTAATATGAATATGACCCAAAATCACAAATTAATAATACAAGGGAACAAATTTCACTTTTTGAAAAGTCCATTGAGTAGATTACCCATTTTGCCCTTAGGTTAGAATATTACTATTTTTTTTAATTTTTTTTTGATGACACTAGAACCGCAGTCGCTATAAAGTGTGCACTGGATAAATCATCGGTCGAACTTAATACCTTGCAAATCAGGCGATAAACTGAAGTGTCGGGAGTTTGAACCCATGACCTCATGGTCACAAGTTGCGACGAAGTACTATAAAATTCCAATTGTAGAAATTAAAATGTGACGAAGTACTATAAAATTCCAATTGTAGAAATTAAAATGTAATAATATACATATATTTTTAATTGACTAAATTTAAGAAATTATATAATTGGTTTGTTTTCTCATTTTAATTTAAAAAATATTACTCCCTCCGTCCCACATACTATGTCCATTATGTCCGTCTCACATTCCATGTCACTTTCATTTTTTTAAAAATGATTACAAACTTTAATCTCATTTTAAACTTTTTAATTTATTTTTTAAATTTTTTTAATTAAACTAATTAGTTATATTAATCTTAATTTATAATTATTTATATTATAGGATAATTATTTTCACTAATACATTCTTAATTATCTACTAATTATATTTCTCCTAAAATATCGTATATACCGTGTAGCAGACACGGTACGTGGGACGGAGAGAGTAGTATTCTATTTGTACTATTCTCGGTATATATAAATATTATTTAAATTAAAAATAAAGTAAAAAAACTTACACTAAAATGAAACAAACCCATAAATTTTTATGTAAATAAAAGAATTAAAATATTTTTGATATTTTTTTTAATAGGAAAAAAAAGAAGTTATGAATAATTGGAATGTACAATCAAACACAACCTTACGTAAAGTTGATTAATAATTAAAACGCGGGATCAAGGTTCATCTTCTTTGATTTAATAATACATTATTTTATTTATTTTTAAGGTGAATTCTTGGAAGCTCCGGGACTCTCCCCACAGAATAAATCCCTACCGCGAATAAAAGCGTGGATCCCTTCTGGTGTTCGAAGTCCCTGGTGTAGATTTTGTCCCCCTTCGATTCCAAATATTTTACTATTATAATTATAATTAAGGGTGTAGATTCTTGTTAATACTCCCCATCCCAAACATCATGCAATATTTGTATTTGACACAAGAAGAATTTAGGTGGAGAGTATTAAATATAATAATTTGAGATAATTTGAATATTAAGTGATGTGATTAGAGAGATAAATAGATATTTGTTTTTTTTTTATTTGAGTGATGTGATGAGATAAAGTGAAATGCATATTAATATACGTATAAAATTACTATTAATTATTTTTAAATTTGAAAATATTGCAATGAATTTGAGACAAACAAAAAAGAAAATATTGCATAATATTTGGGACGGAAGGAGTACTTATTTGCTCAAATAAAAATAATATATACGGTATTAATTAGTTATTTTAATTTTAATTATAATTATTTTTAATATACAATAATTATTTTTATTAATTACTTATTATTTATACTCTTTTTAAATTCTGTCATCTACTGTAAAATAAACGTTATATCTATAACGGAGAGAGTACAACATTAAATTTAAATTTGTGTCTAAATGGAACGAATATATTTACTTGTAAAATTTTATTTTCGATTTTAGTATTTCAATTCTCTTTTTCTCCAAGAAAGTAAATCAAACACTTATTTTTTATTTATTATAATACACTAAAATTAATTTTTATATTTCTATATTTGGACTACAATAATACACACGGACACATCGCAGATCTAATCTCCGCCTTTAATTTTTGCGTGGACCCCACACTAATCAACGGCTTATATTCACCTGACGTTGCGGTTGTAAGGCAACCAAAAATAAATGTGGGTGCGATTAGTCGCCCATGTATCTCTGTACTAAAAATAATTTTATTAAAATTAAAAAATTATATGTGACTTATATAATACAGTATGCAGCTATTTTTATATTTTCTATACAATTTTTTTTAAATTTTTTATAAAAAAAAAAAATTTTACGATAATTTCACAAAACAAACAACATACATATTGAGCTCTTACAATGCAGCCTCCCGCACGCAATAACAGCCTCAAGACTTGCCTAATCCAACTTCCATTCTTCAAATCCAACGGACCATGGGCCCCGTCAAACCCAACGACCTCACTTCACCACCGTACGATCAATCTGTCACCGACTATTCACATACAACTTTCAACCGACACGTGTCCATTGACTCTCCGCCTCTCCGCGGTCACTCACGGTTCTGCCACAGGCTACAGCCGGTAGCTAATCCGCCTCGCCTCCCGCTCGGGTATATAACCACAGATCAGTGACGGAACAGTTCCCTTTTTTTTTTTCCCTTTTTTTTTTTTCTTCAAAATTGTCTTGGATTTCCTTCTCCCAAGTTTCCAGGTTTGCATTACCAATCTGTGTTCATGTTCCTTTTGATTGTTGTTTATGGCTATTCCTTAATTTAGAAATGGTTGTTAGAGCGATTTTAAAAAAATTGATGTTCCGAGTGGATTTTTCAAGGCAAAAAGCTTCCTTCTTTTTTGTAGATTGCAGCTGGAAGTGTAATTTTTTGTGGTTTTTGGATTGAGGTTAGTTAAGTACTGTGGTGATGTTAATTAGAAGCTTAATTTCATTGTATGAACTTGTAATTACCCTTTCGCGAGTGTAAGGGTGTAATTAATATTAGTTTCAGCTTGATTGCTTTTTGACATTGGAGACCTTAGATTGAGTGGCGGATGTTTCTAGGGCTAATTTCGTTGCTGTTATTTGACATGTTGTTTGATTCATCGCCTGCTGCCCAATTTCTGAGTCTTGTTCGTTAAGTATTCGTTCTTAATTGGAAAGTGGTTTAATCTCACTTGTCTTGAAATTAGGGTTTTATCGAATTGGTTTCTGACGATTTCGAAGTGAATTTTGTCAATTTTAGTGTCCAATTTTGAAAATTGATGCCCTGTAGTTCTTTCCTGTTTTGATTTCATATCTGGTGATGGGTATTGCCTTTTAACTCTATTTTTCAGATTCACATTTCATCTTCTACTGTTCATAGCAGAATCCTAACTGATTTCTTTTAATTTGTTTGTTGGATAATGTCATTGTGAAGCAGTAGTGAATTACATGAAGTTAAACTGTTGATTCTCCGTAGCCGGGACAATAATAATTGAAGAGCTATCACTTTTTTGAAATTTGGAGACCGATCATTAAGCTTGGTTGCTCCAATGGTGCCTTCTCGGGTGGCCGGGGGAATGCCACAGTCATCTTCAAGTTCAGGTATATTTTTTCAACCTGATGGGCAGTCGGAAGCTGCTGGAAATGCTCGGATGGCTACAAATTACGGCAACTCTTTGCATTCGGTACATGGAAGTATGCGCGCCAATATGGGACAAATTTCAGGGGATGTTAACAACATGGTCTTAAATGGCGTCGCCAGTTCTGGGCCTAGCATCGGGACTAGTTCTTTGGTAACTGATGCTAACTCGGGCCTTTCAGGAGGTCCCCATATGCAGAGAAGCGCGAGTTTTAATACAGATTCGTATGCACGCTTGCCTGCTTCTCCGATGTCATTCACATCCAATAATATCAGCATTTCTGGTTCTAGCGCAATCGACGGATCCTCTATGTTGCAGCAAGGCTCGAATCAAGAACAAGGCATAGGAGCGTCGAGCGTGACATCATCGCGGATTGGGCAAGTCCCGATTCCAGGCGGCGCTAGAGTCCCTAATTCTCTCATTCAGGACCCGACTTCGTTATCTCATTTACAGAAGAAGCCGCGATTGGATATCAAGCAGGAAGATATTTTACAGCAGCAGGTTTTGCAGCAGCTATTGCAGCGGCAAGATCCTTCGCATTTGCAGAATTTGAATCCTCAGTTGCAGTCGATTATCCAGCAGCAGAGATTACGGCATCAACAGCAACGTGAACAGCAGCTTCTTCAGTCGATGCCGCCTGTGCAACGAATGCAGTTATTGCAGCAGCAACAGCAACAGCAACAATTAAGACAGCAGCTTCTGCAGCAGGGAATGCAGCCTTCTTCTGGGATAAAACGCCCGTTCGACGGCGGTGTCTGCTCGAGACGACTTATGCAGTACATGTATCATCAGCGGCAGCGACCTACTGTGAGTTATCTAACAGGATCTCTTGGATCTTATGTATGTATTTATCGAATAAATATAACTTGTTTACTTTCAGGAGAATACTATTGCCTACTGGAGAAAATTTGTGGTTGAGTATTACTCCCCACGAGCGAAAAAGCGTTGGTGTCTATCCTTATATGACAGCGTTGGGCATCACTCTCTCGGGGTATTTCCGCAAGCTTCAATGGTAATTGTGTTGGTTCGTATGTTATTTTGCGGCTATGACTTTTACTTTTTAGTGGATCATATGCCGAAGCACCTCGTTATTGTTATGTGTCTCTGCTTCGGATTTACCCTGAAGTAGCCTTTTGTATATGTATGTATGTCTAATCGGCGGCATTTTTCGTTGGCAGGATGCATGGCAGTGCGACATATGTAATTCAAAATCAGGGAAGGGATTTGGTGAGATTGATATCATTTTATATACATGTTTTTGGTTCGTTTCCTCCCGTATGCTAGGCTCAGTTATTAACTGCTATTTCTGTAGCTTAATACCGGGTAGTGATGATTGAATAATATATTCTTTTTATGACATATTCTAGACTTTGAAAAATCCAAATTTGAATTACCTTTTAGAGAAAAAAACAAACGGCAACAATTCTGTTACCACTTCTTGTAAACTTTCTCGAACACCTGTGATTGCTTGATTTTTCTTTTATATTTTTTAGGCTTTAGTTAGTTTCTATATATATATATATATTTAAAGAAGTTACTTTTTCTTAACGTTTTTCGATGAGTGAGATGGCATGTACAACGACATATGGAATAAAGCTTACGAAATTTGCTTCACCTAAACTTTCAAAATCACCAAATTAAAAAGGGTTTGATACCATGTTGCTGTGCTTTTTATTTGTTCTTAACCAAACGTGAGTCGGTAAGTCATTTAAGCATCCCCGAGATGAACCTGTTTTGTAAGTGTCCATCTATGCAATCTAAAAATCGTCTTTTTTGTTTGTTTGTTTTGGATCAGAGGCAACTTTTGAAGTGCTCCCGAGGCTCAATGAAATCAAATTTGGCAGTGGTGTTGTTGATGAGCTGCTGTTTCTGGACTTGCCTCGTGAATCTCGGTTCCCTTCAGGAATGATGATGCTAGAGTACGGAAAAGCTATTCAAGAAAGTGTGTTTGAGCAACTCCGTGTGGTTCGTGAGGGGCAGCTTCGTATCATTTTTACTGCTGACTTAAAGGTAAATTATAAGGAATTGTTTGAAAGAACTGTTGGGTTAATGATATATCTACTCATTCGTATTAACTTTGCACATGTTATTTCGAACAATTTAGATATTGTCATGGGAGTTCTGTGCGCGCCGTCATGAAGAACTTCTTCCTCGTCGATTAATTGCACCACAGGTGGATTTCTGAAAATCTCAGCTGCATTTGTTCTCAAATTTATGATTCTGTTGTTATGAATAAATGCATGCTTTGATGATTTCATGAACTTTTGTGATAATTAGGCTTGATTGAGTTATCCGGATTTTATGCTAAATGCTGCGGTTGTTAGATGAAAACATTTTGTCCTTTTTCTTGTGTGGGCAATACATGAAAGAGATGAAAAGAAGACTTTTTTGGTCGTTAAATGAGTTCTAGTGAATGCAATTATAGCAGTCGGATAATTGATTTCTATTGATACTTCAATGAAAGATTTTATGTGAAATTGATCTCTACATATATAGATTCAGTTCAGATTTGAAATATGATCAACTGTCTCGATGAAAACATTCAAAAATTACCTTGTGACGACCCTAAGATGTGATTTCATGTAGCAAAATAGTCGATCGGGCGTAAATTCTGAGCTTGGAAATGTATTGCAGGTGAACCATTTACTACAGGTTGCGCAAAAATGCCAGAGCACAATATCCGAAAGTGGATCCGAGGGAGTTTCACAATCCGATTTACAGGCAAGCAGTGTAATGTAAGTAATACATCCTCTGCCATTGATCATACCTTGTCCAAAAATTAAAATGTAAATAGCAACAGATTTACGTCCATTAGAGAAAGTAGGCGGTCGTTTGGCTTGTGTATATGACTTTAAATAAATTTAGCAATTTTGTCGATGCTATTTCAGGGTGGTAACAGCCGGGCGACAGCTTGCGAGAAGCTTGGAGTTGCAGTCGTTAAATGATTTGGGCTTTTCAAAACGATACGTTCGATGCCTACAGGTATTCCTCTATTCTTTAGTATTCTTTTTTAGTTTGTCTGCTAAATTTACCTCATTATTAATTCTGGCAAAGTCAACATTTAACTATTATGTTTCATTCAACACTTATTTATAACAGATATACTACCTTTATTACATTATCTCCACATTTTCATTAATTTTAACTAAATTTTCAAAAATACCTCAAATTATCTTTTTACTTTGATAACTTTTTCAATAAAATATTTATTTTTCTTAAGTCGATAGCTCAATGTGTTTGTGTTTTTTGTTTTTCCTATGTATTCTCATCGTCTGTCGCTAATAATAGATCGCGGAGGTCGTCAACAGCATGAAAGATCTGATGGATTTTTGCAAAGAACAGAAAGTTGGCCCTGTTGGTAATAAATCGCTTTACTTTCATGTTCTTTAGCGCACGTAATAACAAGCCGATATTCATGTCCGGTTTCGTCGATGAGATATAAATTCGTGTTCATTGCAGAGGGCTTGAAAAACTTCCCCGGACGCGCCTCGGCGCCGAAGATTCAGATGCAAAAGACGCAGGAAACGGAACCCCCGCAAAATGATCGAAACGCACTCAACAAACTAATGACGAACAACGGAAACATGGCGAGTCGAGGCGTTCTGACCGGCTCGGCCCAGGCCGCGCTTGCGCTGAGCAACAACCAAAACATTCTGATGCGACAAAGCTCGTCGACAACGACGACCTCGACCCACAATAGCTCACATGCCCAAGAGGCGTCGGCATCGGCGCCGTCTGGTATTTCTCCGGCGGGCGGGTTTTCCGGAAGCCAGGCGATGCAGCAGCGGCAGAATTCGACAAACGAGAGCGGCGTGATGCAACAACAGCAGCAGATGATGATCCAGCAAATGTTGCAGGAGATGAACAGCAAAAACAACGGCTCGGAAATCCCTCATGGGGCGCAAAATAAAGATGGTCTCCCGGCAGCTGGAAGCAGAGTGGTGGCAGCAGGTGGTGGTGGGGGAGGAGAGCTTCCGAGCAATAACAATAGAGGTGGTGCAGGTGGTGGTAATGGGGAATCTCCGGTGGTAAGCCATAGCGGTTTCGGGCATAAAGTGTCGGATTTGGCGCAGGATATTCAGTTGCCGGATGAGTTCGTCTCGGATGTCGCCCAGGAGTTCGTTGCCAACGGTTTTTTCAGCAGCGAGTTAGACGACAACATGAGCTTCAGCTGGAAGGCTTGAATGGGTGTTTTCCGGCGGCGGTGGAGGTTTCCGGTGAGTGTTTGGAAGTGAATCTCTGATAGAGTTGGGGTTTTGTTTTGTATAGGCTGTTGAATTTTCAGTTATTACCCAAGAAGAAGAAACTATTGTATTGTGTGTTTATTTAATTTAGACTTGTGTTTTGTTTTAGGATTTTCGACTGATACATTATTACTATTATTATTATTGTGTTTGTTTTTGTCATTGTCATGCTCATGTCTGTCTTGCAACTGTAACTGTAATCTATATACTCTATAAATTTGGTTGCTTTTTAACTCTGGATCATTTTTATTTTATTTTATTTCTTTAATTTTTAATTCAGCAAGCAATAAGTATGATAAAACAAGTCACGTTATACAAACTATCTATGTAAAATCTGTACATAAAGAGCAGCAGAATTTGGATTTCATTTCATTTGAGGGAAGTTTCAGTTATCTACAATATCACGAAACCTTTCTATCAGATCATTCACTCTCCAACCCTTAAAAAGAAAGAAAGAAAAAAGAAAGTGGAAAAAAGGCGGGAAAACTTCCGGCCGGGCCGACTTCAGTTAGAAACACCGGAAATTATAACAGAACCGAACAAAATTTGCCGCTAACCAAAAGAAAAAAAAAAAAAACATACCGGCAGCAGCTAATCGAGCAACTCGTAATCAGAGTCATAGTCGTCGATCATCAGAGGGCCGGCACCCCGGAAAGTGTTGAGGATCATTTGCTCCCAAGTCCGAATACTTTCGCTGAACCTTTGCAAATGCGACCAGCTACTCGGGCCAGCCTCCAACAGTTGTGCAGGCGACGACAGGTTGAAGGTGCTTTCCGGGGTGTATTTCAGCGCACAATGTCCCTTTTCATTGATCATTTCGACATCAAACACCGGATAGAGTGGCCTGCCGACGACTTGGACATGATTGATGCTGCAGAGTGTTGAGAAATTCACAAAACAACTTTCAGACATTTATGGGAAAATGATTAAAAGAGTTCGAAGAAGAACCTTTTTTTGATCAAGCGCGCGCTCAAACAAGTGCAACTTACCATATGTAGTACAGCCCATCCATTTCTTGCGTTTGGACGCGGCCTAACAGCTCGACTTTCAGGATTCCACCGATGCAAAGTATCGGTTCCGGCAGCTTAAACTTTTGCAAAGAGTTATCCTAATTTGCATAAGAGAAAAAATTACGTTGACCAAAAAGAAGATTGCAATAACAACACTGCACTACTGTAAACATTTTTTGAGCTTTTCCATCGTAAACTAACAACTTCTGGTGAATAGCATGTAACCCTAAACAAGAATCTACCATCATAAATTCTGAACAATTTTTTTAAAATCTGTATCAACAACTGCCCATGTTCGTACATGTAATTTGAAATAGGAAATGATAAAAAAGCTATTCCCTCCGTCCTCCAAATTTATTTTCACTTTCCTTTTTAATCTGTTTGATAAATTTATCCCATTACTAATTTTCTCAAAATAAACAAATTAACATTTAATTTTTACCCAACATTCAACCTTTATTTACAACAAATACCACTAATTTTATTAAGTTCTTTCTTCATTTATTTTAATTTCCAACTAAATTTCCAAAAATACCTCCAACTATCTGTCACTTCTTCAGTAAAATATTTATTTTTAATCTTTTGCCGGATCCAAATAGGTTAATTTTAATGGACTGAGGGTGTAAGGCTTTGACAACTAACACTAAAAAAAAAAAAAAAAAAAAAAAGACATTATAGCTTCTCGAAGAAACTCACCTGAGCCATCGGAAACTCCGGGGAACAATAGGTCCATACAAACTTGTCGTCGGAAAAATCTTGAACATCCAGAAACCCTATTCCAACTTCACTCTCTATGTCTAAATTAACCTTGGCGTGGCCCATCCGAAACCTCACTGCCTTGGCTGAATATATCGGGAAACCAATTTGAAAATACGCTGCGACAAAAGGAATTCTCGAGTCAGATGGAACTTCTGTAGGGCGAATAAATAACTAAAGATGGTAAAAGATCAACCTTGAAACGGATGCACGTGAACTTCGGTAATCAGGCACAGCTGTGAAGCCAATCTATAAAGCAACGTCTCGGGGGCAGCAGGGTTAGCTGCGCCCTTGCTCGACCAATATGATGCCCTGTTGTCGAGCCTGTCGCTCGGCTGCAGAGTATTCTTGACGCTTTCTTCGGGATAGTTATCTGTACTCGATGCAAAAAGAGCATTTGATATGCAATTTTCTTCGCTGAAAACTGTTAAACATCTGATTAAGTACGAAAAGGCTCTATGTTCCCTCTGCAGACGCGCCGATTCAGAAGAATCATCAACCTCTGCTACCACAGGTTTGAACATGTTTTTAACTTCAATAACGCGAGTAAACATTGAGGTTTCCGGGAACATCCTCAGACACATACCCTTCGACAATCCATTAGAGATCACTGCGTGTATGAACAGAATTCAAATGTATGAGCGCAAAAATCGGACAAAAAATAAATGAAATGAAATGTAGAAAGCATGAAATGAAATTCATCTCCGACCTGCAAAAATCGACAAAAATATCAATCAAGATGTAAAATAGGGATAAGTCGCGGGACCATTTGCTTAATTAAACTCACAAATCAATATAGTTTAATTTTCTTTTGGCAAAAAATTGATCATAACCTACATATGATCACTCAAAAAGTTCACTAATTATCCATGGATTCTTTCCCCCTCTAGCAGCCAAAATGGATCGAAATTAAGCATAAAAAAGAGTCGATGACTCATCCATTGATCTCAACAAATAATACACAAAATTGATACACAAATCACCATCATTTCATACTCAAAAGGTTTGCTAATTGTTCTTAGTTTATTTTCCATCTCTCCAATGGCAGAATCTGCTCAAAATTAACCACAACACAATTCCATAATTCATCCATTTCTCTCGAGAAACATTCACACAAAATCAATACCAAATCGATCAAACTACAGAATATACACCGAAAAAAAACCTAGAATTGAAAGCCAAATCAAGACATTGAATATCAGAAAAGCAAGGTAGAAATTGTGGTTTCCTAAGCTCACCAAAATGGCGCCATGAACGAGAAACAGCACTTGCACGAACGAGATCAGAAGGATCTTCCAAACAATTGAGGATATTCACAGACATGTCCTGTCCAACCCATTCTATGAAATCCCTACTTTCATCCATCTTCTCCACCCTTCAAAACCTAAACCAAATTTACAAAATCAATACCTACGAATCAAAATTACTCGCAGCGGAAGAACCGATTCAAAATTACTCGCACAACCAAATTCAACCAAACGAAATACCGAGAGCTAGGAAGGGGAGATTTCACCTCGAAAGTTCTAAACCTAGCGTTAAAATTCCGGATCGACAACCGTCCGCGGATATTTCGTGCCCAGATAATTATGGGAAGATTGAACAAAATCAAGCGAAGGAGACGGAAGGTGAGAGAAATATCCTCGTCGATGATGGTATAAATTGGGTAAATCGGTGGACAGGAAAATTGGGGGCGGCCTTGAATGGATAACGACGAGTAGCAGTGTCGTGTTCATGGGGCGATCAGATTAGGGATTTGAGACATTAGCAGGCAGGCAGCAAATTGCCTCCTCCATCTGACATTGCCATCGCCATCGCCATCATTAAGCAAAGCTAATTGAAGAAACTGATTGGATTGAATGTTGGATTGGGCAAAATGAATTTATCTTATTAACTGTACAGACAGACCCCTCCTAACTACCTTCTCTCAAGCTTGTGTTTGTTTGTTGATTTTTTTATTTTTATTTTTATTTTTATTTTTTTTTAAAAAAATATATTTCATTTTTCTAAAAAGAAATGTTTGGATTTTGAGTTGAATGATACGACAGTGTTATAAATAGGTATTGTATTTTTTTTCGTTGGTTTTTAAGGCGTCTCATTTACCTGTATTTAATATTTAAAATATTCATATATTTGTATAATTTTTTTTTATAAATAATACTAATAAAAGTATTTTTGCACTTATTTCTTAATTTGTACTACTTGATATAATAATTAATATTTAAATATATAAAAAATAAAAGGATAAATATTTGATTCAATCTTTTTGAAAAAAAAAAATGATCGAATAATAAAAATATGGATAATCTTTGTAAAAGAATTTACCCTAAAGGGTTTGTTTCGTTTTCTCTTTATTTTGAATTTAAATTTTTTGTGTCCATAAGTCATACCCTAAAAATTCAGCACATGCTCAACGCTATGAAATCTTTTTTATATTAATTTATTATTATTTAATTATATTTAAAATATAATTAAAATTTTAACTTGTAGCTAATTAGCACAAATGCTGAATTAAAGCACATGATTTATGCCATTTTTTTTAATGTAAATAATAGGCTAAATTGCACAAAATTCACATGTGTTTTATAAAATTGCACCGTACTTTTAATATTGCGTCAAACTCCCTCGTGGTTTCATAAAATTTGCGTCTAATCCCCTTAGTGGTCCTTATTTAACGGTATTTGACCTTAATGCGCTCAAATTGCGAATAAATTTTAGAATCTCAATTTCTAAACCCTAAAATTACAAATATATTTATTTTTTATATATATATTTAGTCTAAAAAAATAATAAAAATAAACTCTTAGAAGTTGAAAATAACTATTTTTGAGTATATTTACTATTTTTTTAGAGTAAATATAAAAAATAAATAAATATATTTGTAATTTTAGGGGTTTATAAATTGAGATTCTAAAACTTATTCGCAATTTGAGCACATTTAGGTCAAATACCGTTAAATAAAGAATGGGGATTTGGTGCAATTTCATAAAACCACGTGTGATTTTTGTGCAATTTAACCTAAATAATATATTGATATAATATTTATAAAAAACATTTTTGAAAATTGTGGACTGAACCGATGGCAATTTGGATTTGAATCCAAATAAAAAATATGTTTGTTTGTTCGATTTTGATTTGAATTTTTTTTTTTTAATTTAAATAGTATTTTAAATTATGATTTTCTAATTTATTTATTTTTTAATTTTTTATCTATTTTCTTATTGATTGTAATATTTGATTGCATATTACTATATTTTAATTGATGTTATGTTTCGATTTCCTCCGTGTTTAAAATTATCGTTAGTAGAAATAATTATTGTATAATACAAATAATTATAAATTAAAATTAAATCAATTAAATAATTAAAATTAAAAATTATTAAATTTAAAATATAACTAAAATGTATAATAATTTTTAGAAAAAAAAAAAAAAAAGAGAAGTTATATAAAACGTTGGGAAAACAATGAAATTATTATTGAGTTGAATCTATATAAATCGTCAACCATGTGATATATTTGAGATTTAACAACAATTAATTATGTTTTAAATTATTTTTACAAATATATTACGTTATATTTATTACAAAATTCATTCAAACACCTTTTACTCTCAATAAGAAATATAAATGAGAATTTAAAAAATGATAAATTGATGACTGAAGACATCCTTAAAAATGTTTAATTTGAAACAATCTTTCCCAATACATGATTTTTAAATATTTCATTTAATATATAACAATAATAAAAACTACCCTATAAAAATGAAATAATTTTAAAAAATAAGTGATAAGTTTAATTGATACTACATGCAAAATTTAATGAAATATATAACAAATAGCAACATATTTGTAAATACAATATTTTCAAATTTGACATTTTCTAGAATAATTTGCTATACGTTTATTTTACAAATATATATATTGCATATACATATACTACCTCTGTCGGATTCTAAAATCATGTGCGTTGATATTTGAATATTAATTATTATATCAAAACGTATAAAAAATTACAAAAATACTAATAAAATGACATTTGTACAAAAATAATTATACAAATATAAGAATATTTTTAATGTTCAATGACGCCAAAAAAAAAAAAAAAAAGTGAATGCGACTCTTAGAGGGGGACGGAGATAATATTACATCATTGTATATACATATATTACATTACTATAGAGAAACTACCGATTTCTACCAACAGTGTATAGCTCAAGCGATTGAACCTTCCATCCGACATATTTGAAGTTAGAAGTTCAATCCCGTCGGGTGTGTACCCAAATAGGCAAGTCTCATGAATTCAAGCTTGATCGAACAATTGGGGAAAAGGGTGCATAGCCCGATTTGAAATCAGGCGAATATTGACACAAATTTTACATATTTGTCAAGATTGGAGAAAAATATATTTTCGCACTATCCATCAATAGCTCATTTACAAAAAAATCACATCAAATATCTATTTTTATTATTTAGAACGAATTCTCTGTTCAAAACATCACATCCAACGCATATTTAAGCTCGAGCAATTGTTCTATGACCAACCTACTATGCAAAAATGATCGGTTAGAGACACGGGGTGATATTAAGTTGGCGGAAGAATTGAGAGCTCATTACATGGAATGGTGGTCGGATGCCTAAAGGGCGGGCATAGTCGAACAAAATATTTAGTATCGTAATGATAAAAAAAGAGTAGGAAATATGAAATAAACATGTTAGCATACTTTTTTCGCTATTCGAATTTACACACAGTCAAGAACTACATAACAACTAAGTTACAAAAAATCCGAAAATAAGTCCCTAAAGCAATCCTCAATGTTCTTGTCTTATAGGGTTACGGTTAAACTAACAAGTTACTCGACAACATTTCCTCTAAATCAGAAGTCGAAAACACAAAGGTACTTCAAGATATCGATAAAAGAAAAAAAAGGCCATAAATAGCAATTCTCGACAATAGTAATAACATGCTAAGCAATCAATATAGAAAGCGTACCGAGAGGGCGTTCACGAGTTTACCGAGGTTCATTATAGAAAATATGTTGCATATCAATGATACGAAGAAGATAGCAAGCATGGATTCAGCATCATCATACTCAATTATCATCGTGTTCGATTATCCTTATGGATGGATCATGTTGAACTGGAACCGGGATAGCTGCTGGGGGATGGTAGAGATAACGGGCCCGTATCTCTGAAACAAATTAAAAACGATGATTTATGAAGAATGACCGCAACTTTATCATCGACTCGAGAATATACATATGCAGTAGCACATCTCAATTGCATTTGGCATATTGACGCACCTGAACATTGTCATAAAGTTCAAACAATGGAACGGCGAGAAGCTTCAAGTTTTTTGGCACAGCAAAGTACTCCCTCTCGGACAGATGAACAAGGAAAAGTTTCTTGCATTCCTGCAGCATCATCATTATAGTTAAGGCACGGGTTACGCCTGTAAGACGTGTTTGGTTGGGGGTTTTCTAAAATTTATCCTACAATTCACTACCCACCCCCCCCTCCCAAAAAAAAAAAGTTCAAAGTTCGGCAGTAAGGGTACATGAATGTATGTACATACCTTAGGCTTTTTAATGTGTGGCGGACAGTAAGGGTACATGATTGTTTCAAAGTTCGGTCTCCACCACATAGCCACACACTCACCGATCTGCCAAAAATTTAGGTTCTCATAGTTAGCATTGTGAACATAAAGATTTGACTGCACATTTCGAGCGAGCAAACGGACAATTCATGTTTATATGCTTACAAGCAGTATATCTCACGACAGTAAATAAGCTTTGACACCACAACTTTGATAGGATAACATTTGAAAGCTCCGGTTTCTCCAATATAGCTTCAGATTTTTATTTTATTTTATTTGAAAATTTAGTAAATTCTCTACATGAAAAATACAAGTAATGCATCGTCTATTACCTGCCAATTTGGCTGTAGAGATGGCGAATTAGCCGCAAGTTTGCTAGACAGCTTCCTTCTCAATCCCTCAATTTCTGCAAAAAATTAGATAAAACAGTCACCACATAATCGAAAAGATTAAAATGAATAAAAGCTATCATACCATTCTCTCCTGGTTTCAACCTGCCGCCTGGAAGTTTACAAAATGTGTTTCCAATTTGCAAAAGAAGAATATGGGGGTGATTATGCTCTTGCACCTGAGGAATTCGAAGAGAACAGTGAATCCATTAACTCTCCAAAACTTTGCAGTTTGCTCCAATCAAGCCAAAATTAATTGAATTCACCACGCATTGCAATAAACTCTTTCAATTTGAAAGTCATCATGATCAATGGATCAATTCGCAATTTATATTCAATCAAAAAAGAAACAGTTTTTTACATCCAACACAAGGCTTTGTTCACGTGTGATTTTATCCCTGCTTTTTTTTACTATTCGATCTACCCTTTTTTCTCCAAAAAATTAGCTCCAATGGCTCATTTTCCGTTAAAAAATCACATCGAACAATAATTTCCAAAACAAAAATAAAAACTCCTTATTATTATAAATAAATAAACATCGCCAAAAACAAAAAATACTTTTGAAACACAACAAAACACCGATGAATATCAAGATACACATCTTAACTCCAGACCAGAAGTTTAATGTAGGAATTCCACTAGCACAGAGGCAATAACCAGAATGAACATATATATCCATACATATACATACATACAAATATATATATATATAACAAGCATTGAATTCAATAGCCTACATGATATGTTCTTTCCACATTGATAGGTTTCATTCCACAGACTTCACTGGAACAGAAAATGAAAAGCATCGAACACTCACATCTAACAATACCGTAGATTCATAACAAACATAGCTAATTTACCTTGAATAATCAATCATTATCATGCTGAAAGCAAGGGGAAATTTGGGGAATCGGAAGAACAACAAAATCACTTACCAATAAAATCCCCTCGACACTAGTCCTCATTCCTTCCTTCATGTAGCTGCCGTCAAAATACCAAAACAAAGCTCAGAAATTAAACCAAAAATAGATATAAATCAAACCAAAGGACCTAAATTGAGATCAAGCGACAAACCCTAGACAGAAAGTTAGAATTTGATCGACCGCCATGCATATCAAACTAAAACCAGAAATTAAGCCAAAATAGAAGAGATTCCACATACTTCACTTTCATCCGAGCAAGGCGATCGGCGACGGAGGTATCCTTCTCCAATTTGGGCTCCTTGGTGCCGAAAGTGTAGCTCGAAAGAGGGTATGTGTTCACCACCTGCGACCCGACCATCGTTCTCTTCTTCTCCTTCTCTGGATCCCAATTCAGTCGAACTCTTCTTCTCCTCTCCTCTGTAGCCGCAGAGCTCTCTGGTCGAGCGGGGGAAGAGGGCAGAATGTTCTCAAGTCTCACCGGAGGAAATCGTGTTTTAATTGGAGGAACCGGACAAAGAAACACTGTAGAGACATACCTAGTTGGGCCATATTTGGGCCCTACTCATCGGGCCTATATTTTTAAGAATATAAGCTATGTTTATATATACATTTTAATTTTTTTTTATTATTTTTTAAAATTTTCTAAATTTCGAAACATAAATAGTCTAGTATATATTTTTTCTTATATGAATTTCTAATCGAAACATGTTGAATGATAATTGTATAATTATTATTAACTATTAATATTCAATTCTGGTGTAGTTAAAAATCTATAGGTGTTTTCAGTGGCATAAATTTTTCAATTTTTACTAATTAAACTCTACATTTTCGGAAAATCACAAAAATATTATATCAAATATTATATAATATATTTTAAATAAAATAATCGATGAATATAATATTTTATATTTTAAACATAACCAATAGCCTCAGTTCCCTCGCTTTTCTCTCGTGTTTCCGGCAAAATCTCGTTGCCGGGAATAGCTCTATTCGATCACGTCGACAGATCTCGATCAATGCTGCCGACGTTTTGATGGGTCTTGAAGCTTCAAGTCATTCTATTACTACCATGCATAATCTAGAAGAACAAACACGGACAATGGGTTACCTTTGAATTTTTTGTCACGCGTGTAAGCTCATTCGATGGTTCATTATGTCGATTTCCGGCATCCAGACGAGGCTGCAATGAGTAAAGCAGTACGTAAGAACAAAGCATCCCAATTCCAAAAACAAAACATCGAAAAGGAACATCTAAAGAATCACCAAAGCAAATCTAACCTCCTCGCTATCGGCATTTAGGCTTTTATACTTTCGATATTGATTGCTTAGAGTCAATTTTACCTCTTAAAGACGAGCATTCCGGTCCTAAAAATATTATCCACCTATGCTACTAATCCCGGCTCTTTTCCATATCCCTTTCTCCTCCATCAATCTCCTCGCCCTTTGGGAATCCGACCATCGACCCATAGAAGCAAGCATGTTCGATAAAAGCACATGAACTCCCGACTCTTTCGGATTCAACTCGTCAGCAATTCGCACAATCCCCTCTGCAAAATTAATATCGCCCCTTTCTTTGTACCCGGCGAGCAAAGCTCCCCATACTGCAGTATCTGGTTCGTCCTGCATCTCCTTCATCAGCACTTGGGCTTCTTCCAAATGATCATTTCTGCAGAGAAGGTCGATCATAGAACAAAAATGCTCGAGCTTTGGCCTCGTTGATGTATCTGTTTTCATATCTTCGAATATTTCTTGCCCTTCCTTCACTAAACCTCCATGGCTGCAAGCGAAAAGCGCCGCCAAATAAGTGTGTTCGTTTGGAGTCAAATCGCTTCTTTTCTGCATCAGACGGAACATTTTAATTGCTTCCGATGTTCTTCCGTGAAGGCCTAAACATTTGATCATTACATTGTACGAGAAAACATCTTTGTCGCCAATCTTGATAAATATCGTAAAACTTGTGTCGATATCTCCACAGCTTGCGTACATTTCTACCAAAGCAGTGCCGACAATTACACCCATCTTAGCCCAATCTCCGATCAATCTATGCACCCATTTCCCCGACTGGAGCTCGTTCAAGCTCGAACACGCCGTCAGCGCCGCAACAAATGTGAAAGAATCCGCCTGCACGTCGCGTTTCTGCATCTCGACAAAGAGATCCATCGTCTCGCGAAACTTCCCTATCCGATTATAACTTGACATCATGCAATTCCAAGAAACCACATTCTTATCAGGCATTTTGTCGAACACTATCCTTGCTGTTACAATGTCTCCTGCGCCGGCATACGCCTGGACCATTGTAGTCCAAGAAACCACATTCTTCTCCGGCATACACTCGAACATATTCCGGGCATTCGCTATGTCCCCGGCTTTAGCATAGCCGGAGATCATAGTATTCCAAGATACCGAATCTCTTTCAGGCATTTCATCGAACACCTTCCTCCCATTCGTCAAATCCCCTGTACTCATGTATTTCCAAACCATTTTATTCCACAATTCAACTGTTCTATCTTCCACGCCATCAAAAATCCTTCTAACATCATCCAAGCCCTCGTTTTCCCTCGATCTAAACTTTAATGACTCAGCCATTTTCACATACAAATCAAACAGAGCATTGCCGACTGAAAAGACATTCTCGAAACCTGATGTTATAACTCGGCAATGCACCTTCTTGCCAGCTCTAAAATCTCTTAATTTCATGCAGGAGTTCAACAGGTATGGGTATGTGAAGTTATTTGGTGTTAGACCTCTCACAGTCATTTCATCGAACAGAAATAAACAATTCTCACAGGGGCCATTATAGGCGTAGCCTCTGATCATGGCATTCCATAAGGTGACGTCGGAGCTGAATAATTCCTGCATTTTCTGGAAGATCAGCAACGGATACTCCATTTCCCCGAATTCAGTGGTGCGCCGGAGGAACTTTAGTCGAATTTCGTGGACTTGATTTAGAGATGCAGTGATGAGTAGGGCATGGATCTGCTTCAACTGCCTGAGTGTGCATTGCTGCAAATGATTCACAATTTTGGAGCTGTTGATCATGATTCGACGAGCACAAAATTTGATCAGATCGAATCTATCCAATATTGATTGGCTAAGATACTATCGATCGGATCATTCATTATCCAAACTAGCAAAGATGTTGGGCACCAGATTATGTCCAGATATTTGAACTATTGGATACTTCATATAATCAAATAGTTCAAAATGAAATCCAAGTCAAAACAATTCGCAGCTGAACTATCCGAAATTTTGGTATCTGAAGCAATGCCAACCCTAACATTACCTATAGACTTTCAAGATCAGTGACGGATACTTGAAAGGACACTTGATGTAACACAAGCCTTCAAAACACGAAAGAAAACGATAAAACGAAGATGTCCTGTCTAGGAGAACGACGTCGATGACCGGAGAAGAAAATTACGACGAATCCAGAAGAAGATGATGATGACGTTAGGAAAGGTTCCAGATGAATTTAGGGTTTCGAATTGAAATTGGAATTTGTCCGGCGAGTTTAGTGCAAAAAATAAAAATAATAAAAATTGGAATTTATTGCAAAAAAATTATTAAAATAATTATAAAAAGTTAATAGGAAAATTTTAAAAAATTAATAATATATATTTACTTCAAATTTAAATGAATTTTAAAAGTTCTAAAAATTATAAAAATATTTTACATAAAAAAAAAATAAAATTACGTAGTATATAATATAAATATATATAAAATATATTATTGTAGTATATAATTAATCTAAAGAAGTTTATAAAAAAAATAAGATTTTAATATATGAGTAAAATTTTACAATTGAAACTACTTTTCATTACAATTCATATCCAATTATATTTATCTAAATATATTTATATTTAATAATCTAAAAATGTGTTCAATTCATAATTTCAAGTTAAAATCAACTATTATCAAAATATTATTTAAATAAAAATTAAATTTCAATATATGATAAATAGTAAAAAGAAAATTAAAAATAAAAACTCCAAATCATAACATTTCAACTTACAGATGGCTCTTACATTTCATCTCTAATACTGGCTACGAACAGCCTCAGCTCCCTCGCTTTTCTGGCGTGCTCCGGCGACGCGCCGACGTCGGAATCGGTCAAATCGATCACGTCGACGGACCTCGCCCGATGCCGCCGACATTCCGGCGGCGGACTGATGAGATCGATGACCTCTGTTTCCGAAGAAGAAGCTTCCTTACAGATGCCGTCTTCGCCATCCTGGCCACCGGAGAAATTATGAATGTGTCGGCTTTGAAGGGCCCGGTCGATTCCGGCGACAGGCGACAGGATCTTCGTTGAAGATAATACTCCGAAACTAATAGCATTAGTCGCCGTCGTCCGAGCTTGATCAATGTCGAGAAGCAGTTCTTGAAGCTTTTTATCGAGTTCCTTCATCTCGACCTCTTTCGTTTTCGCTCGTGGTTTGCGCGCGGGTTTCTGTTTCCGAGCCTTTCTTTCAAAGAATTCGACAATCTTTTCGGGACAAGCACTGCAAAAAATAACGAGCAAAACGGGCGTTTCTTTTGAGTCTCTACAACTCTACGTTTCCCAAAAATATATATATTTTTTCTATCATAAAACATCAAATCAAAAATTATCGAAATAAAAATTGAAAGACGGTACCTTTCTATAAGATCGGCTGGAACCACGGATGATTCGAGGCCATCCATGGCTTCCCAAGAAACCTCGAAGTAGTCCCGACCCTGGATTTTCCGTTGCTTGACGATGCTAGAAACAGGGCATTTGACCGGCATCTGCATGAGCGAGCAAAAACTTTTACATACTATCGAAAATTCGGAGTAGGAGAAAATGTGGTGAGCGATCTTCGTACCTCTTCAATGGGAAGATTAAGCTGTAATGCAGATGATGAGGAACGAAGGTTAGCGAATCGCCTTAAGTTTCTTTCAGCGATCTTTGGAAGAATGTACTCATCTAAACAAAGAATCGAGAGTAGTGTTATTCATTGAATATGTATATGCATCGTGAAATTTGGCATAAAGATATCTAACCTGTCTTTTCGGGAGGCCACTCGAAAAACTTTGCGCAAATCTGATGGAGCTCGGAGCGATCAAATGGATAGAGAGCAAGAACCCTATACGAAAGAATGAAGCAAGAACATGAGAACAATTTAGTCGTAAAAAGAGTGACACTTTTAGTTACTAGCGATTTCTGATGCGCCGTAGACCTGTGCACGGCGACTGAGTCTGCTGAATGGCATTTAGGCCTCAGGTATGCATCGATCACTTGCAAAAACGGATTATCTGTTGGCAAATCATGTTCACGTCCTAAAATAATAAGTTACAACTCAGTTATTTTTTTAACATTATGTATCGAAGTTCAACAAAACTCGAAAAACTTGAGAAGAAATGGCAAGTCTCCAGTTGGTTCTAACTCACCTTTAACTTTTCTACGGTGATCAGCGTCGTTTTCTTTATTATCATGTGTTGAATTATGACTCCTTTTTGAGCCTTTTTGCTTCTTTGTAATTGACAAGCCCTCGGAGACAAACCGTTGAAGAACAGATGAGTCGCCAATGGCTTTCACGATCTGACAAGCCGACTCCTGCATCGAAAAAAATGAAGTGCGATGTACTTGAGAAACGATAAGTCACTGAATGCTATACAGAAATTTTCATTTCATCTCATATTACCGGGCCAAATCCGCGGACGCCTTGCGAATAATCACTGCCTAGAAGCACAGCAAGAGTAATCTGAAATATATGAAATCGAAAAGCACATTGTGTGTTTACAGAGAGTGGAATACACCAAATTATACACTCAATCTATCCAAATAACCGGAAAATTGATTCCCCAAATTGCCGTTGTTGCTAATTACAGTTTGGAAGTTCATGTAGCCACATGATTATTCGTGTCGTCAAAAACTATCATAGACTAAAAAACTTGCTGAAAACTCGACAAATATGGCAATGATCGAACAAATAGAAAATACCATATGAAGTAAAAATAAGAACTTGCTGAAAACATTCATTGTTTCGATGAACAAGTTTGAGAAGATTACCAATGAATTCCTGCCAAACCCAAGCTTCGCCTCGATATCGTCCATTTCATAACATACAACATATCCGCCATCCGCTAAAAATCAGAAAACTGCATCACCATATGCATATAAACATAAAAGAGTAGGGGGGGGGGGGAGGGGGGGAGAGTGTAAAGGTAAAAGAACTTCACAAACTCACCCAGACATATATCCCGATAAACTGTTCTTGCGCCAAATAAGAACACATCAGAATCTAAAGTGAAACATCCGTCCTGATGATTGCCGTAATTACAAAAAGAAAATGAAAATTGCAGCGTCGACTATCAGTCCCATGAGACAAGTAAATTTGAAAACAAGCATTTCATATATCATCAGAATATATCGATACAAAATAGGAGCTTCAACTTACACACAATGATTCTGAGTTTAAGAATGCACATTGAGCTTCAGCCTCTTCGATCCTGAGTGAATAGATAATGTGTCAAATTTCATTTATTTCGATTACGGAGAATTTAGAATGCTCATTCTGAATCAAACTTCTCTTTATCAGTGTACTAGTATGAGAAAGCGAGAAATGAACAAAAGGTAAATGTTTCGAACAAAGACAAATAGATATGACCTGAAGCAAACAAAAATTACAATCGAAGAGCGATCTTCAACTCACTCTTAAAGCCATTGTTGCCGATTCTAACAATTTGCAATAATATATACAAATTCTTACCATCACAGCCATATGTCCTTTTTTATTATTATTATTTTCATCAATTCCATCCAAATGTATACATACCATATTATAGTAAAAACAATCTCATGCTAATATCAAAATACCATTTAATTTTTAATTAAATTACAAAGATACCATTATATGGTTTTACAAATGTATACATACCATATTATAGTAAAAGCGATCTCACGCTAATATCAATATATTTTTTTATTTTTACATAAATTACAAATATACTATTACACTTGTTATTATTTTATACATAAAGTACAAAGAGACAAAATCGATGGTTAAATCTACTAGTTTTGTATGTAAATTGAACATGGACAATAAGTTACCCATCTAAGCACGGAATACCAAGGGCACCGCCGAGAAGCTTGGCATCTTTTATCATGCAGGAAAATTCAGATCCCATATTTCTTTTGACCGATGATACATTTTGTTGATTTCCAGCATCGCGATGAGGCTGCAACGAGTAAAGAAGTAGGTCAGAATAAACTATAAAGCATCACGATTTTAAAAATAAAGTATTGATAATGTGGAAAGGCACATCTAAAGAATGATCAGAGCAAATCTAACCTCACTACCAGCATTTAGTCGGCGCCTATAAGTAGACACTTTTATAGCAGGTATCGACCCATCTAGACAGCCAACACTAGGTCTGTAAGTCACGGAAAATTTACTGAACATAAAACACTTCAACAAAAATTTCTATAAGATACATTGCAGAAAGGCTTCCATGTAAGATATATTGCCTTGGTGGGGTTTGTTTGTGTTTTCGATATTGTTTTGGCACTGTGGAATCGACATAAATATATTTTTTTTCTTTCCCTAAAAAATATAACATTCATTACCTATTTTCCATTAAAAAAGCATTACAACTAACAAAAGTGTATTTCTCTATCTAAAATGTTATATCATAAACTTATTTTCTATTCAAAACATTTCGTATCCAAAACTGCCGAAAACACAAACGAACACACCTAGCTTCAAGACTTTTGAGATTTTGAAGCATTCAAATTGAAGCCATTTGAAAAAAAAAAAAAAAAATTGTTGAATTCAATGGCTTGAGTGCTTGTTTCACATCATACTTTTTTCATTTTGCAATGATCTACTAGAAAGCAATGCATTTATAGAGTCGAAAACACTAAACAACAGAATAAATAAGCCCCAACTAAAAATAATTGCAAATTTTTTAAAAAAGAATGCCCAAAAAGTAGAACCTCATCGATTTGAAGACCTAAACAATCTCGGAAGAAAAAAAAAGAATACCGTACATACCATACATCATGAAAGTATGGTGAAATTTTATTTCCTTTCAATAATCCATTCTGAATGCAAAACATTATGGCCATAAAAAATGAAAAAATAAAACCCTCTTTCACTCAATTTAAGATAGGATTACCAACTTACATCGACACTTCTGTAATTTTTTATACTATTCACCAAGAATGACTTCTCCAAAAAAATAAACATCAAACCAAATTCCAGTGTTATTATTCTCAAAATTTTCCCAACTCCATAATTCCAAAACTTCTATTTAAATCCAGCCAGAAATTAAAGAACTAGGGTTTAGCAGGGTACCAGTAACGAAGATGAGGCTGCAATTCAAAGCGATTAGAGCTCTAAGGCGATGGAACAGACTCTTCAGATAGAGCTTTTCTTTAACCACACAATGAGATTTATTCGCATTGCAGAGTTGAACTATCCAACACGACAGATCCACACACACTCGCTTGTTCCTAATCGATCATCCAAAAGCAAAATGGAGCAACAATTATTTCGAACTGTTCACAAAATAATAACAATGGCAACGAATCGAAACCCTAAAATGAAACTGACTCACCGGAGATGGTGAAGAGGAAGCCGTTTCTTGCAAGATTCCAGAATATCCCAAAGATTCTTCACCCCCATTTTTCAAAAAACGACGATCCAAGCCATCGGAGAGACACGAAGATGTTCTTGTTGCCCTCTGATTGAAAGCGCAAACCCTAATTTTGCAGCAGTAGCGTCGAGGAACGGATTGGTCCGAGCAGTTGGTGAGCTCAGGAACACGAGTTTCGTTAGGGTTTGGGTTCAGACATTTTTTCAAATTTAAAAAATGACTTCAAACGGAACTCCCCGCCCGCGATGGTTGTTGGTATGTAGCCCGATCCGGATCCGTTTAAGGTTGGGCCCAACAGTGGGCTTGTATGGCTAAATTGGACTCGATTGATTGGGTCGGGCCGGGTTGTATGTTAGATTGTTGCATTCAGCGGTGCTTAAGATGTTAATTAAAACTAGTAAGTACACAAGCTAAATAGTTTTTTGAATAAATAAATAAATAATTGATTAATTTTTTTTCTTTATAATTATTTTAGACAAATTGTTATCTTATTTTTGGAGTGATAGATTTATTATTTATACTTTATTAAATAATAATCAATTTGTCATTATTTCTTTTATATATTATATCATATTTTTATCTATCATTTAATAATTTTTATAATATCTTTATTTTTTTACATATTCTATTTTATATAGTTATACATATTCTATTTTATATAGTTATTTTTATTTTTTAATATTAGAGTAAAAAACAAAATGATATTGGTGGTGAGTTTAGTACAATTTTAATTTTGATTTTACTGTTTCAAATTTGTTTTCTCTATCTATTTTCATTAATCATATTGCTCTAAAATTTAATTTTATATTAAAAAATCACGTCAATACATATTTAGTCAAAAAAAAAAATTCAATTCAAAATTTTATTATTTAAAATCAAAATACTACAAATAAACACATTAATATAAGAATGAAGAAAATAATCAGACTTTCATTCAACATTTTTCAACGACACAATTTTCATAAATATTGTTAAAAAAATATAAGGATACACACATTAATAAAATATATATTATCCATTCATAAAAAATCAATCGTTCAACAAAAAATATAATTTTTTATATCACCAATGCTATATATTATTGAAGCGGTGAATATGCATGACTATATATAATTATTTTATAAAATATTATATAAATTTAAACTCTAATTCAAATCAGTCGAACAAGCAAATGCATATATAATTTTATCTTTCAAAAAGTGATATATAATATGTAATTATATATATGAGTTATATTGTAAAAATAAATTAAAATTGGGGTGTAATTTATATAAAAAAAACTTATATAAAATAATATAAAAGAAGAATATACAGAGAATATACGTTTTAGAGTGAAAATTGAAGTTTATAGTTAGAGTAAAATTACTGTAGATTAATTGCATTTTTTTTTATTATAGATTTGTTAGACCATTTTTATTACTGAAGTTTATAGTTAGAGTGAAAATTGAAGTTATATAGTTAGAGTAAAGTTGTATTTTTTTATTAATATTATAGATTTGTCAGACCATCTCCAATCCATTATTTCATTATTATTATTATTATTATTTTTTCAGTAGCTACAGTAAAATTATTCTAAATCAACTGCATTTTTACTGTATTAAAAAAAAAATAACAAAGTAATAAAATAATGGATTGAAAATGGACTGACAAATCTATAATATTAATAAAAAAAAAATACAACTAAATTATTAATTATAGGAGTACACATATTTTTTTTGCTCCTCGCGCGACTCATGCGATTATATAAAGCATATTTATGCGGCCTCCGATGGTTGGAATATTCCAGAATTTAGTAGTATATATTAACAGGTCCAAAATGCATCAAGTGGGATATTATTTATTTATTTATTTATTTTAGCAGTTTATTTTGAACATACACAATCTTAAGAATTCAATTCAATATTACGGTTTATTTATATGATGTAAATTGAATAAGACTCAAATAATAATAATATTTAACTGATATAACAAAATAATAAATATCAGATTAAAAAAACCATAAAATATAAAATATAAAAGGTATTTCAACAATCCCAATAAAAAAAATTTAAAAAATGAAAAATCAATGGAGTATTTAATGTAATAATTAATACTAAGATTTTGTCGTAATTAGCAAACCAAATTAGACTAAAACTATCTGAAACAAAAGATATAGCACAGGTTTTCTAGAAAATTATTCAATTCCAAAGACTCCCGGACTTGGAGTCCTGATAAATCTACGCCCCACAATTAAAACATCAACGGCAATAAGTCACCAAGGCTTCAAGATCACAGGAGCCAATAAGATAACCACGTATTCATTTCATTCACAAGAACTCCTGGATTACAAGTCCTGAACAATCTACACCATCCATTTAAACCTTCAACGGCAGTGATTCAACTAAGGCGTTGAGATCGAAGGAGCTCTCGAGAATCCCCATAAATTTGAAAATCCCCAATTCCAGTCCCGCAAAATTCCACAAATTCGATTTCAATTAATCTTTCGCCATCGATTCCCCCTTTTTAATCGACGTTTCAGCTCGAAATCTCCTCAGTCCTTCACAAAAATGGCGACTCAATTGTGGGAGGCTCTGAGAGAATCCATCTTCGCTTACACAGGCCTGTCGCCGGCTGCTTTCTTCACAGCCATTGCTGCAGGACTCGCTCTGTACCACGTGTGCTCGAATTGGCTGTCGCCTTCGGCGGCTTACGAAGTGGAGCGCGACGGCGGAGAGGAGGAGGAGCAGTCAGTGCCTCTGCCGCCTCCGGTAGAGGTCGGAGAAATCACCGGCGAGGAGCTGAAACAGTACGATGGAACTGATCCGAATAAGCCTCTGCTCATGGCTATCAAGGGCCAGATCTACGATATCTCTCAAAGCAGGTATATATATTTATATATATAGTTTATAATTTTAACGTAATTGAATTTATTCAAAATCGAATTGCATGACGAGCTATAATATGAGTTTGGATATTGATTTTAGTGTAGTCGAAATTTATTCGAAATCGAATAATTGTGACAAGCTATAATATGAGTTTGGATGTTAACTTTAGTGTAATCGGAATTTATTCGAATTCGAATCATTATGTTGAGCTATAATACAAGTTTGGATATTAAGTTTTCGACTTTTTCAAAAAATCACATCATATATATTTATCTCTTACAAAATATTACATCAAATACTGATTTATTCGAGACCTAATCTTTTTGTCGAGCTAGTTTGGATATTAATATTTTCAGTCTTTACCATTGCATTCGTATGAAAACAAGATCGAAAACATAAACGAACATGGCTTTGAATACGTTCTTCGTATATTAAGTTTTCGTGCGCACGCTTATGATTTTTCTTGCTACATATGTAGTAACGATGATTTACTTCGAGTAAGTGTTCGAAAAAAGCAATCAATACAAAGAAACCTTCAATATCGCGGTTGAAATTATTTTGTCGCGTTTGCAGGATGTTTTACGGACCAGGCGGACCGTACGCTCTATTTGCAGGAAAGGATGCGAGCCGAGCTCTTGCGAAGATGTCTTTCGACGACAAAGATCTGAACGGCGATCTTACAGGCCTCGGCGCTTTTGAACTCGAAGCATTACAGGATTGGGAATACAAATTCATGAGCAAATATGTAAAAGTTGGGACTGTCAAGAACGATCGCAATCGATCGACAGAGACTTCTGAGGCTGTCGAAAATGGCAATGCCGATGTCCGAAAGCCGGAAGAAGAGCTGACAAAACAATCAATAGTCGATGACAAAAATAAAGCTTAGATTCTTATTCGCCTTGTAATAAATACACGAACTTAAAAAAAAATGTATTAATATAATACAAAGACTAAATAAAAATAGATCTTCAATGTACCTTTTTCTAAACATACACTTTGAAGGGTAAATTTTATTTACCGTCGACTTTGGCGATGCCCCGCCGCGGGGCTGCCGGAGCAGAACCTCGGGGCCTGGCACCAGTAGGAATGTCGACAGTCGGCGTCTTGTCTGAAAATGGATTGTCCAAGACCTTCGCCGTCAAAGCCGAGGCTGGATTAGGCGACGCAAGGCTAGGACAATATCCCGTTCTCGTCAATACCTCCTCGACGTAGATTTTGTCGGCCAGAACCTTGTAAGCAAATTCGATGCACGGTTCCGACAAAATTTGTTGCAGCAATGAATCCGGCCGCAGATTTTCGACGCTGTTCTTGCCATCCTGTTTATCGCTGTCGGTTTTCACTTCGGTGGTGTCAATCTCGGGCATTTTCTGTTCATTTTCGTTTCTTCCTTAGGGGAAAATCAAGGGCCTTTTCGGACCATCGTCGTTGTTGTTGTTCCTTTCCGCGTCGGATTTTCCCTCATTCGATGCTGCGGCTTTATGAGTAGCTTTGGCGGGTTTACGGTTAAGAGGATGTGCTTCGATTTCGACTTTGACGCCGGCGAGTCTTTTCGAAGTTCTCCGAGGCAACTCGATTTCCGACTTTCTTTTCGACGTGTTCGGCACGGTGGTGGTGGTGGTGACGGTGTTCTGAGCATTACCTCCTGAGTTTGCAGACAGACAGCATTCGAAGACAATTTTTTTAAGGTTACGATAAATATCGATATGGGATTTTAAAAACGCTCGTAAAATACATCAATAGACATCTTATTTACCTGTTTGGGACAACGACGAGTCTTCCATGCCACGGTCTTTCAGTTTATTCGCCACCAATCTTAGACTCCTTCTCCTCTCTCCCGTTTTGACAAATGTCGCTTTCGATCCTAAAGTGTAAAATCGAATCGCGACAACATCAGCCAACTAGAGGAATTATAGAAAAATGCATTTTGTTAAAAAGCGCTGACGGAATTCTATAATCTAGGAGCATAATTCGGACAAGCGCACGTTAGGACATGCGTATTACCTGACTCTCCCGAATTGACGCACAAAAAACTTTCATCGGCTTTCTGGCTTAATGACGTTTGTCCTTTAGCCACATTTGTCGCATTGTATTTGACATCGGTGGCAAGTTTCAGACCTGAATGCAGGTAACAAAATGCAGACGCCGTTACATAATCTAGGAGTATTATTCCGACAAAAAGCACACGTTCAGACAACGAAACATAGTACCTGACTTTCCCATCTCATCGCCCGATAAACTTTCATCCACATTGTCGCTGATTGACATTTGTCCTTCACCCTCAACACACGACTGGGGAGAAAAACACAAAGCAACATAAGTTCTAAGAAGCTTCCACAACATTTATTTCTATCTAACATTGATCCAAAAAACGACATAAACCATAATGTAAGCATATGTACAAACAACATACCTTATTCGGAACGTTGGGGTTATCATCCTTTGTAGAACTTTCTAGATAACGAAGCACCTCAGGCTTCGAACTGAATTTGAGGCCATCGACGGGATTGATGTAATACTAGAGCAAATCCAAAGAACATAATTTATTACAACACAAAATCTAGAAAACTATAAAAAAAACTGAAGATTAAGATTCGCCGTAATCATGCCATTTGGGAATAAAATCTAGCAAAACTACAAAGACAGACAATTAGCGGTAATAATGCTATTTGCGGATTAGTTCCATTTTCAGTAAGTGATGAATAGCAAAGCACAGATCAAACAACACACATGATGTCATAATCCAATTCAAGACAATCTACAAACACTTGATGCTCATTCGAACTAAGATGAAATCGAAATTAACAAAATCATTCTAACTTCAACATTAGCAACAATTCCTCTACACGCAAATTCAATCCAATCCAAATCTACAAAGGCAGCAGAAATATACCCGAAACCCGATCATCATCTACATCACCATCATCGTCTTCATCATGTGTTGTTCCAATTACCCTAATCTAAAGTTCTTCAAGTTTTCCACATTTCACATTTAAATTCAACCACATAACACAGAACTAAGCAAGCATTTTCAAGCCCTAAAAACACTAAATTCTCAATCTATCGCAAAAACAAAGAATCCATAAAACAGGCAAAGCATACAGATCTTCAATCATCAAAATAAAACCCTAAATCTCAACCAAAACAAGGTCATCAAATTTCGATTATCTTCCAACACAATTACACGATTACTTACCTTATCTTTCTTCCCAGAGCTTCGAATCTTCACTCTAACTTTCCAACCAGCGGGAAGCCAATCAGGGTGTTCGCAGCCCATTCCCAAATTTCACTCCGATGAACTCTAAATCCCAACTCCACAAACCAAGAAAACTCACCCAACAACACCAACAGCAAGGGGCAACCACTAGAATCAAGCAATTTCGCAATTCTCCACTCCAATCGAGAAATGCGCGATTTGAAAACTGAAGAGTAAAGCAAGTATTCACCAGAAAACATATATATAAAGAGAGAAATGAAAGGGCTAAGCAGTGGCGAGGGTGGTGTGAACGATGGAGGGTGGGCTCGCACAAAGACGCAGAGTGGCGACGGCCACGTGTAGCTAGCACACCGGGAGAGCCGCCGAAACGGTTCCGACAGGATTCCATTAAATAGGGGCGTCATGGTTTCGATTTTCTTGAATTCTCCCAATCCCTGATTTCGTTTCTTCTTCTGTCTGCTCTGGATTTTGCACAATCTCTGTGAATTTAATTTACCCTGTCTGCCCAGATACCATCGACCCTTTGTCGATTCACGAAATTAAAGAAAATATATGAGCAGCAAAATTAGGTTTTCTTTCTTTCTTCCTTTCTTTCTTTCTTTTTTGGATTTCGAGACAACTATGGCTGCCTTCGATTTCGACCAACAATGTGTAATTTGTCCGAGGAGCGTTAACGGACAAAATGAAAATTGCGGAGAACCTGAGAAGACGGGCAGGCAGAGCACGCCGATCTGGAGGCGGTTCTGTACGGAGGGTTGGCTTTCGATCATTCCATGGAGCTCCACAATTGCCCATACTGAACAGCTGCACTTCACCTGGATCTGCATTGCTGCTTCGCGATCTCAGTTTATGTAATGACGATTGAGATTTCTATCACTTTCGACCTGGCAATTTGGGGGAATTTTGAAATTAGGGTTCTTAATAATTGGGGGAGGGAAGGCGATTGAAAGTTTTTGCGGGAGTGCGGAGTCGAGGGTTGCTTTTAAAATTAAGGCTGTGTTTGTTTGAAGTTTTCGTATATTTTTAACTATTACTGAATTTACAACAACATTAATTTTAATTATTTATTTTTTATATTATCTTAAAATTAATTTTATATTAAAAATATTATATTAATATTAATTTATATCATATCAAATAATATTTAAATTAAAATTTTTGTTACTAAAATTTACCTTAAAATTCAAATTTTTAAATAAATATTTAAAATTTATATCAATACTCATATTTTATTTTCTATACTCTCGTTATAATTATAATAATAGTAGTAAAAAATTTTATTCTTATATATTTTTCTTAAAACTCATCTCCGATCAAATGACCACACAATTGGATAAAGGAGAGTACTTCCTGTCCCATAATAAAAGTTTTATTTTTCATTTTATTCCGTTAAAAACAAAAATATTATTTTGTGAATACCATTTTTATTGTACTATTTATCTATTGTAATAAAACACAATATTAATATAAATATTTTTGTTTTTATTTTTACTCCAAATCAATATTATATTAATATTAAAAAATATAGATAAAAAAAATGCTATTTTTTTAGTAAGACCGAAAAAGTATCTTTAACTTGATATATTATTTAATTAACATGATATATATATATATATATAAAAACTTAAGTATATAAATTTAATTTACTATGAAATTATACTCCCTCTGTCTTATAACTATGTATGCATTTGTTTTTTGAGTATTTGTAATATTAGTTAGATAATACATTTACTTTTAAAAAAATGAATACTTTATTACGAGTCAGACCAAAATGAAAGAAATAGATACTTTGTTATGGAATAACGAGAGTATTAGTATTATATATATTAGTTACTAAATCAATACATACCAAACACTAAGCACAAACAAGACTACTAGTATAAAGAAACTCATCTTCTTAATTCTATCTAAAAATTTAAATTTATATTAAATCCAAATCAAATAGTACATATTATTTATTTACTTTTTTAAAATAGTACATATTATTATAATATATAACAAATATTTTAATAACAAATTATTTATCAAAATACATGCGAATCATTAAAAATAGCCCAAATTTCTAATTTTTTCATCTGCACAAGATGTAATACATTTTGTTTCAAATAAAAAGCTACCAAACAAGTCATGAGAAGAGATAATTTACAGCGCTTGAAATTATTACACTCAGCTGCAATAAGAGTAACTGTGCATGCAATCCAATTTTACCAATATATATTCAATTTTACCAAACAATTCAAATTGAAGTTGAAAAAATCAATTTTTACCCGTGCGCACTAGCGGTCGCAGATTTTCAAGTCAAAAAAAAAATAAAAATCAATTTTTACTACTGTGAATCATTTGTCTTACCCTGTCCTTGATCATCCCCAACGGCTGGTGATTGTGATTGTGAATGTGTGATTTCACAGCATCACCACCAGCTTGAGCGAACTTCTCGACCGGAATTTCACCGGTGAGAATCTTGACAGCGAAGGCGATGCAGGGATCCTTCATCAGAATTTGCTGCAGCCTTTCATCGCTGGTCTTGCTGCCATCGATCCAAGGCAGATGCGGTTGATTATCATCCGGAATAATTTTCCCCATCATCAGTGTCGATCTGGGCATTTTCTGTTCATCGTTGTTCGCCCCTTCGGAGACACTCAATGCCATTTTCTGATCATCGTTGTCGTTTCTTTCAGTGTCAAGCTTTGGCTCATTTGATAGCAACACAGCTTTGCAAGTAGCTTTGGCCGGCCTAAGAAGACATGCTTCTAAATCGACTTTCACACCAGCGAGTCTTTCCGAAGTTCTCTGAGGAAAGTCGCTCGCCAATTTTCTTTCAGAGCCCTTCGACTTCTTGATTTGCACTGAAAGACTCGAACCCTAGTGACCTTCCGCAGAAATCTGTTCATTTTCTGTTGCCATTGGCCTGTTCATCATCGGAGGCGCAGTCAGTGTTCTGTACAGCACCTCCTGAGTTTGCAGACAGACAGCATTATACGACAACTTTTTAAGGTTACGAAAAATATCGATATGGGATTCTAAAAACACTCGTGAAATACATCAATAGACATCTTATGTACCTGTTTGGGATGACGACGAGCCTTCCATGGCATGATCTTTCAGTTTATTCGCCGCCAATCTTTGACTCCGCCTCCTTTCTCCCGTTTTGAGTAAAGCCGTTTTGGAGCCTACAGTTTAAAATCCAAATGCAACAACATCAGCCAACTAGAGGAATGACGGAAATGCATCTCGTAGATAAATGGAACTCATTACACACTAAACATAATGCAAAATAATGACGTGCTAATGTCTGTTGAAGAACAGACACTACGGCGCCTGGTGTTAAGTCTTTCCAAGTTTTTATCTACTCTCCTGTTTGCCAAGTTATAAGTTTCCTCGTTGTATTTTATCGCTACTTGTCTATTTTCCAGTTGCACGTTGTCAGAAAGCTTCATTTATGATTGCCTGGTTTTGTTGCTTAACATTTTAAATCGGTAGCAAGATTCAGACCTAAATGCAATAAAAAAGCGCAGCTGCTATTCGGTAATCTAGGAGCATAATTCAGACAACCACGCATTAAGACAGGCATATTTTACCTGACTTTCCCATATCGTTGCACAACAAACTGTCATCCTCTTTCTGGCTTATTGGCATTTGTCCTTTAGCCATATTTGTCGCATCGCATTTAACGTCAGTGGCAAGTTTCAGACCTAAATGCAGGAACATTGTTCAGGAAAAAGGCACATGTTCAAGAAACAAAATGTAAATGCCTAATTAATACCTGAGTTTCCCATCTCATCGCGCAATAAACTCTGATCTACATTGTCGTTGATTGACAGTTGACCTTCAGCCTCGGCACACGACTGGGAAAAAAGCACAAATCAAGATGAGTTGTAAGAAGCTTTCACAACATTTATTTCTGTCTGGTATAGATCCAAACCGCGCAATAAAGATAAAAGAATTATACACTTTTTTAAAAAGCCGAATTAATGAGGACCCACCAAACCTTCGACGGATACCAAATCAGTATAAACCATAAAGAATGACATAAATATACTTCGTTTTTGAAAAGCGACAACCATAATGTAAGCATATGTACAAACATACCATATTTGGACCATTGGGATTATCATCCTTTACCGAACTCTCTAGATAACGAAGCACCTCTAACTTCTAGCTGAATTTGAGGCCATTGGTGGGATTGACATAATACTAGAACATATCCAAAGAACATAACTTATTACAAAACAAAATCTAGCAACTACAAAGACGAAAGATTCAGATTCACCGGAATCATGCCATTTGTGAATTAAATCTAGCAAAACTACAAAGACAGAAGTTTCCCCGTAATAATGCCATTTTTGGATCAGTTCCATTTTAGAAAGTGATGAATGGCAAAGCACAGATCAAACAAAACACAGAATCCAATGAAAGACAATCTACAAACAGTTCAAGCTCCGTCGAACCAAGATTAGAATTAGGAAAATCAAAATCCCGATAACTTCAACATAAGCAACAATTCTTCTACATACAAATTCAATCCAAATCTAAAAAGGCAGCAGAAACAGTAGACAAAAGCTAATCTTCATCATATGTTGTTCCAATTGCCCTAATCTAAAGTTCTTCAAGTTTTCCACATTTCACATTTAAATACAACCACATAAAACTGAACTAAACAAGCACTTTAAATCCCTACAAATACCAAATTCTCAATCCATCGCAAAAATCAAAGAATCCATAAAACAGGCAAAGCATACAGAACTTCAATAATCAAAATAAAACCCTAAATCACAACCACAACAAGTTCATCAAATTTCGTTCATCTTCCAGCACAGTTACTTACCTTATATTTCTTCCCAGAGCTTCGAGCCTTCACTCTAACTTTCCAACCAGCAGGAAGCCATTCAGGGTGTTCGCAGCCCATTCCCAAATTTCACTCCAATTAACTCTAAATCGCAGCTCCACAAACCACGAAAACTCACCCAACAACAACAGCAAGGGGCAAACACTAGAATCAAGCAATTTCGCTATTCTCCACTTCAATCCAGACTTGCGCGATTCGAAAACTGAAGAGTAAAGCAAGTAATCGCCAGAAAATATATAAATCAAGAGAGAAACGAAGGGGCTAAGCAGCGGCGGGGGTGGTGTGAACGATGGAGGGAGGACTCGCACAAAGCCGCAGAGTGGCGACGGCAACGTGTAGCTTGCACACCGAGAGAGCCGCCAAAACGGTTCCGACAGGATTCCATTAAATAGGGGCGTCATGGTTTCGATTTTCTTGAATTCTCCCAATCCCTAATTCGCTTCTTCTTCTGTCTGGTCTGGATTTTGCACAATCTCTGTGAAATAAATTACCCTATCTGCCCAGATACCATCGACCCTTTGTCGATTCACGAAATTAAAGAAAGTATATGTGCAGCAAAATTAGCTTTTCTTTCTTCCTTTTCTGGATTTCGAGACAACTATGGCTGCCTTCGGTTTCGACCAACAATGTCTAATTTGTCAGAGGAGCGTTAACGGACAAAATGAAAATTGCCGAGAACCTGAGATGACGGGCAGGCAGACCACGCCGATCTGGAGGCAGTTTTGTACGAAGGGTTGGGCTTCGATCTTTCCTTGTAGCTCCACAATTGCCCATTCTGCGCAGCTGCATTTCACCTGGATCTGCATTGCTTCTTCGCGATTTCGTTTATGTAACGACGATTAAGATTTCTATCAATATCGACCTGCCAATTTGGGGGAATTTTGAAATTAGGGTTCTTAATAATTGGAGTGTTGAAGGTTAGCAGTCAGATGGAAAGTTTTTGCGCGAGTGCGGAGTCGAGCCTTTCTTTTAAAATTAAGGCTGTGTTTGCTTGACATTTTCGTACAATTTCAACTATTACAGAAAATTTAACAACATTAACTTTAATTATTTTTTTAAAAATTATTTTATATTATAATAAAATTAATTTTATATTTAAAATATTATATTAATATTAATTTATATTATATCAAATAATTATTTAAATTTAAAAAATTATTATTATTAAAATTTATTTTAATATTCAAATTTTCAAACCAACTTACCAACATTTTATTTTATTTTTACTAATATAATTTTTAATTATTTATTAATTAAACAATATTTAAAATTCAAAGTCTAGACTTAAATGAGACAAAATAGTTGAAACAAATATAGTATTTAATGTACATACAATACTATACCAAAAATTGGATATTTTTCAAATAGAGTATGTACCTCCATAATACTACTACCCATCAATTCTCCGCATTGGCATTACATCCAATCTTTGTTACCAATGAATTCAAATTTAAGTGAAAAAATAAGAATAAAAATAAAAATCAATTATTACTACTGTAAATCCTTTCCCTTTCCCTTTCCCTGTCCCTGATCATCTCCAAGGCCTGGTGGTGATTGTGAATGTGAGTTCACAGCATCATCACCACCTTTAGTGAAATTCTCGACGGGGATTTCGCCGGTGAGAATCTTCACGGCGAAGGCGATGCAGGGATCATCCATAACAATTTGTCGCAGCTTTTCGTCGCTGTTCTTGCCGCCATCGTCCTCCTCTTTATTGCCATCGAGCCAAGGCAGATTGACTTCATTGTCATCCAGATTTTGCCCGTCATCAGTTTTCCGTTGAGTGTCGATCTGGGGCATTTTCTGTTCATCATTGTTCGCAGTGTTGGTCCCTTTGGAGTCAATCGCGGGCATTTTCTCATCATCGTCCTCTGGCTCCCTCGATGCCGCCACAGCTTCGCGACTAAGTTTGGCAGGCCTAAGATATGCTTCTATGTCGACTTTGATACCCGCCAGTCTTTTCGAAGTTCTCCGGGGCAGGTCTCTTGCCCACTTTCTTTTAGATCCCCTCGTCTTCTTCTTCTTCACGGAGAGTCTCGAATCCTGCTGATCATCCACCATGTTGCTGACGGATTAATGTTATTAATCGAAAAAGAAACAGAAAACGTAATGATGACACAGATTACAGAGCCGAGCCTGTTTGCCATTTATAGCATAAGTCTATGCCAATAATATACAAATCGTATCTCTAAATCAGTATATAATATCTAATATCCAATTCATATCTCTAAATTTAGAATATAATATCTAATATCCAAATCATATCCCTAGATTTAAATCATATCAAACACGCCAAAATCTGTTCGTTTTCTATTGGTAATGGCCTTACAGGCAGACACACAGACAGCATATGACAACATTTTAAGGATACGATAAATATTACAGGATTCTACAAACATGCATAAAATGCATCAATATTCAATAGACATCTTATGTACCTGTTTGGAACAACGACGGATCTCTACTTGCGCCATCCTTCAATTTATTCGCTGCCAATCTCGGACTCCATCTCCTTTCTTCTGTTCTAAGTAAAGCCGCTTTCGAGCCTAAAGTTTAAAATCCAAACACAACGACATCAGCCAATTAGAGGAATGACGAGAAAAAATGCATCTCGTCAATAAATGGAACTCAATACACACTAAACATAATGCAAAATAACTAATGTGCCAATGTCTGGTGAAGAACAGACACTACGGCGTCTGCTGTTAGTCTATCCGAATTTTTATCTACTTTCATGTTTGCCAAATTATTAATTTTCCACGTTATATTTTATCGTTGTGCTTTTCTATTCTCCGGTTGCGGGCTTTCAGAAAGTTTAATTTATGATAGTCTGGTTTTGTTGCAGAACATTTTAAATCGGTAGCAAGTTTCAGAACTAAATGCAATAAAAAAGTGCATAATTCAGACAACCGCGTAAGGACAACCTTATTACCTGACTTTCCCTTCTCATTGCACGACAAACTCTCATCGGCTTTCTGGCTTATTGGAATTTGTCCTTTAGCCACATTTGTCGCATCGCATTTAACATCGGTGGCAAGTTTCAGACCTAAATGCAGGAGAATTGTTCAGTAAAAAAAGCAAAAGTTCGGGCAACGACGCATAAATGCCTTTAAGACATTCCTAATTAATACCTGAGTTTCCCATCTCATCGGGCGATAAACTTTCATCCACATCATCAGTGATTGACATTTGTCCTTCAGCCTCGGCACAAAACTGGGAAAAAATAAAATCAAAGCACTATAACTTCTAAGAAGCTTTCACAACAATTATTTCTATCTGATATTGATCAAAATAACGGCCCGAGAAAAATCTAAGTATACATTTTTTTTATAACGCTGACTTAATGTGGGCCACCATAGATTCAATGCGTCCCAAATCAGTATAAAGCATAAATAATGACATAAATATCTTTTCCTTCATGTCGGAAAAGTGACAACCATAATGTAAGCATATGTACAAACATACCTTATTTTGATCATTCGGATTATCATCTTTTCAGAAACTACAGCAAATCCAAAGAATATAACTTATTACAAAATAAAATCTAGAAAACTATAAAAACGGAGGATTCAAATTCACCATAATCATGCCATTTGTGAATAAAAGTCTAGCAAAATTAATACAAAGACAGACAATATGCCATAATAATGCCATTTGCGGATCAGTTCCATTTTAGTAAGCGATGAATGGAAAAGTAAAGATTAAAAAATAAAACAATATTCAATTCAAGACAATCTACAAACAGTTCATACTCATTCTAGCAAAGATCAAATTGAAATTAGCAAAATCTCTCTAGATTAAGCTTTAGAAACAATTCAAGACAATCTAGGAAAACTACAAACACTGAACATTCGCAATAAAAATGCCATTGGCGGATCAGTTACATTTTAGTAGCGATGAATGGCAAAATAAAGATCAAACAAAGCACAGATCAAATTCAAGACAATCTACAAACAGCTCATGTTCACTTGAACTAAGATCAAATCAAAATTAGCAAAATCATTCTAACTTCAACATAAGCAACAATCTCAACACACAAATTCAACCCAAATCTACACAGGCAGCAGAAACAATAGCCAAGTTTCCATTGTTTTCATCATCTGTGGTTCCAATGCTCCTAATCTCAAAATTTCCACATTTCACATTTCAATTCAACCACAGAAAACAAAACTAAAAAAGCATTTTCAAGCCCTACAAACACCAAATTCTCAATCTATCACAAAATCAAAGAATACATAAAACAGGCAAAGCATACAGAAGTTCAATCCTCAAAATAAAACCGTAATCTCAACCACAACAAGCTCATCAAATTTCAATCATCTTCCAGCACAATTACTTACCTTATCTTTCTTCCCAGAGCTTCGAGCCTTCACTCTAACTTTCCAACCAGCAGGAAGCCATTCAGGGTGTTCGCAGCCCATCCCCAAATTTCACTCCAATTAACTCTAAATCCCAACTCCACAAACCCCGAAAACTCACCCAACAACAACAACAGCAAGGCGCAAACACTAGAATCAAGCAATTTCGCAATTCTCCACTCCAATCGAGACTTGCGCGATTCGAAAACTGAAGAGTAAAGCAAGTAATCGCGAGAAAAAAATATATATATAAGGAGAGGCTAACCACTGGAGAGGGTGGTGTGAACGATGGAGGGAGGGCTCGCACAAAGCCGGAGAGTGGCGACGGCCACGTGTAGCTAGCACACCGGGACAGCCGCCAAAACGGTAACGACAGGATTCCATTAAACAAGGACGTCATGGTTTCAATTTCCTTGATTTCTCCCAATCCCTAATTTCGTTTCTTTCTCCTGTCTGCTCTGGATTTGCACAATCTCTGTGAATTTAATTACCTATCTGCCCAGATACCATCGACACTTTGTCGATTCACGAAATTAAAGAGAGTATATGTGCTGCAAGATTACCTTCAGTTATTCTTTCTTTTTTTGGGATTCGACCATTCACTGAGCTCCACAATTGCTTATTCTGCACAGTGCTGCACTTCGCCTGGATCTGCATTGCTTCTTCACGCTTTCAAGTTACGTATCGACGGTTAAGATTTCGATCCCTTTGGACCTGCAATTTGGGGGAATTGGTGAAATTAGGGTTCATAATAATAATTGGGGGAGTTGAAGGCTAGCAGCCACATTATTGAAGTTTTGGCGGGAAAATTAAAAGGTAAATGCGGCGAATCGAAGCGAAGTACGGAATCGAGTTATTTGTTTGCTTTAAGGCTTGTTTGTTTCAGTTTTTCAATAGATTTTTTTATTATTAACATAATTTTTTTAAAAAAATCAAATTAAATATTTTATTTTTTATATTAAAAATATTGTATTTTATATATTTATATCATATTAAACAATTATACAAATTAACAATTTTCTATTCAAATATTAAACCTAAAACTCAAACTCAAAACAATATCCTAATTTTGTTTTATAATTTTTATTTTTAATTTAAATACAGTATTTTACTCTCTTTGTCCTCACATAATTTGTCTTTATTTTTTATTTTCGTCTGTCTCGTATAATTTGTTTTTTTTTTTTGAAATATGATTATACACTTTAATACATTTTATATTTTATAATATTTTAAATCTTAGTTAAGCTATTTATTTATTTTAATCTTAATCAATAATTATTTCTATTATACAATAAATATGTTTATTGATATACTTTTTAATTACTTAATAATTATACTTTACCTAAACCTAAATTCTCGTATTTAGCTTAATAGACTCATATTTCTTGGGACAAAAGGAGTATGATTTTTTTTTCTTAGTAACATATATATATATCAAAATTAAAAATTAATAGTATTTAAATAATAATTTGTTATATTTTTGTTTGTAAATTAATTACATTGACATAATAATATAAATTTAAAAATATTTATAATACTATAATATGATCAAATTTACATATATATATATATAATAAACTATTTACTTTATAATTAGAGAGAATCATGAGTAATAATTTTTTTATATATAATAACTATAATTATAGATTTAAAATTAAATTTTAAAAATACTTCTTAAGGTAGCTAATCTCTCTATGATATCAAGCATAATATTTTAGATATTCATATTACAAATATTTTAATTTTGTTTATTTTATCAAAAAATTCAGACATATTTTTCTAAAAAAGTAATATATTACACATATTTGTAATTTTTATGCTATCTAAACAATATTTTGTCATATCACAGTGAATATATAATATGATGTTTTACCATCTTGCCATCATCGTCACCATCGCGCCTCCTTGCTTTTTTGTAGTCTTCTCATGCTATGACTATACACCCAAAAATATATTTCCAGTTTCTAGGCTTCATCGGCACAAGATATAATGCATTAGTCAGTAAGGGATGACCTGTGAAGATTGGACTTGTGACCATGAGGTCATGTGTTCAAACCCCGACGTCTCAGCTCACTTGTCATACATGGTTCGCTCTTATGTGTCAGGTCTAACTTGCAGGGTATTAGGTTCGACCGGAGATTTACCCAGTGCACACTTTCGGATAGCAATTGCGAATTCTCACGTCATAAAAATAAAAAATAAAACACTACCAAACAAGTCAAAAGAAGGAATAATTTACAGTGCTTGAAATTAAAATCAGCTGCAGTCATGTAACTGTGCATGCAATGCATGCATCCAATTCTACCAAACAATTTTACTACCCATCTGTTCTCCGCATTGGCATTGCATCCAATCTATGTTACCAATCCATTCAAAATCCAAATTTAAGTTAAAAAAAAATCAATTTTACTACTGTAAGTCCTTTCCCTGTCCCTGTCCTTGATCCCCAACGGCTGGTGACTGTGAATGTGATTTCACAGTGTCAGCACCACCTTTAGTGAAATTCTCTACGGGGATTTCGCCGGTGAGAATCTTGACGGCGAAGGCGATGCACGGATCATCCATCACGATTTGTCGCAGCTTTTCGTCGCTCTTCTTGCTGCCATCGCCCTCCTCCTCTTTATTGCCATCGATCCAAGGCAGATTCGGTTGATTATCATCCGCGTTTTGCCCATCATCGGTTTTCCGTTCGGTGTCGATCTGGGGCATTTTCTGTTCATCATTGTCCGCAATGTTGGTCGTTTCGGAGTCAATCGGGGGCATTTTCTGATCATCGATGCTTTCCCGTTCAGCATCGTGTTCTGGCTCCTTCGATGCCACAGCTTTGCGATTGACTCTGGCAGGCTTAAGATCTGATTCAATGTCGACTTTGATGCCAGCGAGTCTTTTCGAAGTTCTCCGGGGCAGGTCGCTTGCCCACTTTCTTTTAGAGCCCCTTGTCTTCTTCGCGGAGAGACTCAAACCCTGCTGACCATCCACCGGAATCTGTTCAGTTTCTGTTGGTTTTGGCCTGTTCATCGTCTCAGGCACGGTGATGGTGGCAGTGGTGGCGGCGACCTTCTCAGCAGCACCTCCTGAGTTTACAGGCAGACACAAAGACAGCATACGACAATGTTTTAAGGTTACGATAAATATTACGGGATTCTAAACACATGCATAAAATGCATCAATATTCAATCGACATCTTATGTACCTGTTTGGAACAACGACGGATCTCTACTTGCGCCTTCCTTCAATTTATTTGCAGCCAATCTCGGACTCCGTCTTCTTTCTCCTGTTCTAAGTAAAGCTGCTTTTGACCCTACAGTTTAAAATCCAAATACAACGACATCAGCCGATTAGAGGAATGACTGGAAAAATGCAAATCGTCAATAAATGGAACTCAATACACACTAAACATAACGCAAAATCACTTATGTGCCAATGTCTGGTGAAGAAAAGACACTACCGCACCTGCTGTTAGTCATTCCGAATTTTTATCTACTTTCATGTTTGCCAAATTATTAGTTTTCCACATTATATTTTTATTGTTGTGCTTGTCTATTTTCCAATTGCGGGTTGTCAGAAAGCTTAATTTATTATCGCCTGGTTTTGTTGCAGAAAATTTTGAATCGGTAGCAAGTTTCAGAACTAAATGCAATAAAAAAGCGCATCATTCAGAAAACCGGGCATTAGCACAACCGTATTACCTGACTTTCCCATCTTGTTGCACGACAAACTCTCATCGGCTTTCTCGCTTAGTGGCATTTGTCCTTTAGCCACATTTGTCGCATCGCAATTAACATCGGTGGCAAGTTTCAGACCTAAATGCAGGAGCATTGTTCAGTAAAAAAGCACAAGTTCGGGCAACAACACATAAATACCTTTAAGACATGCCTAATTAATACCTGAGTTTCCCATCTTATCTGGCGAACTTTCATCCGCAACAACAACGGTGATTGACACTTGTCCTTCACCCTCGGCACACAACTGGGAAAAGACAACAAACCAAGTTCTAAGAGGCTTCCACAGCAATTACTTATATCTGGTATTGATCCAAACAACGGCGCAAGAAAATTCTACGAAGTACACATTTTTTAGAACGCCAAATTAATGAGGGCCGCCATAGTGTTGATGGGTCCCAAATCAGTATAAACCATAAATAATGACATAAGTATTCTTTCCTTCATTTCCGAAAAGCGACAACCATAATGTAAGCATATGTACAAACAACATACCTTATTTGGATCATTGGAGTTATCATCCTTTACAGAACTTTCTAAATAACGAAGCACCTCCAGCTTCGAGCTGAATTCTAGGCCATTGGCAGGATTGACGTAACACTAGAGCAGATCCAAAGAACAAAACTTATTACAAAACAGAATCTAGTGAACTATATTAACGGAAGATTCAGATTCGCCGTAATCATGCCATTTGTAAATACAATCTAGCAAAACTACAAAGACAGAAGATTCGGCGTAATAATTCCTTTTTCGGATCAGTTCCACTTTAGTAAGTGCTGAATGGCAAAGTAAAGATCAAACAAAATACATAATCCAATTCAAGACAATCTACAAACAGTTCATGCTCAGTCGAACTAAGATCAAATCAAAATTATCAAAATCAAAATCTCTCTAACTTCAACACTAGCAACAATTCCTCTACACACCAATTTAATCCAAATCTACAAAGACAGCAGAAACAATAGCCAAACCCCGATCATCATCATCTTCATCATTTATGATTCTAATTGCCCTAATCTAAAGTTCCTCAAGTTTTCCAAATTTCACATTTAGATTCAACCACAAAAAAAAAATACAGATCTAAACAAACATTGTCATGCCCTAGAAACACCAAGTTCTCAATCTATCACAAAATCAAAGAATTCATAAAACAGGCTTCCGATCAAAAAAAAGAATCCATAAAATGGGCAAAGCATACAGAAGTCCAATCCTCAAAACTAAAAACCTAAATCTCAATCACAACAAGTTCATCAAATTTGATAATCTTCCAACACAACTACTTACCGTATGTTTCTCCCCACTGCTTTGAGCCTTCACTTCAATTTTCCAACCCGCAGGCAGCCATTCAGGGTGTTCGCAGCCCATCTCCAAAATTCACTCCAATTAACCCTAAATTCAACTCCACAAATCACGAAAACTCCACAACAACAACAACAAAAGGGCAAACACCGAAATCAAGCAATTCCCCTATTCTCCACCCCAATCGCGAGACTTGAGCGATTCGCAAACTGAAGAGTAAATCAAGTAATCGCCCGAAAACAAATATATAAAGCGAGAATCGAAGGGGCTATGCAGTAGCAAGGCCGGTGTGAAAATGGTGGGAGGGATGCAGAAAGAGACAACCACGTGTCGGAAACTTTCTGTAGCACGCCGAGAGAGCCGCCAAAACGGTCCGTTAAATAGGGGCGCCATGGTTTCAATTTGCTTGAATTTTCCCAATCCCTAATTTCCTTTCTTCTTCTGTTCGCTCTGGATTTTGCACAATCTCTGTGAATTTAATTACCCTATCTGCCCAGATTGTATCGACCCTTTGTAGATTCGAGAAATTAAAGAGAGTATATGTACAGCAAAATTACTAAATCTTTCTTTCTTTCTTTTTTTGGGTTTCGAAACAACTATGGCTGCCTTAAATTTGGACCAAAAATGTATAATTTATCAGCGGATCGTTAACAGACAAAATGAAAATGCCGAGAACCTGAGAAGAAGGGCAGGCAGAGCACGCTGCTCTGGAGGCGGTTCTGTATGGAAGGTTGGGCCTCGGCCATTCCTTGGAGCTCCAGAATTGCCCATTCTGCGCAGTTGCCCTCTCCACAGCTGCACTGCACCTGGTTCTGCATTGCTTCTTCGCGCTTTCAATTTACGTATCCACGGTTAAGGTTTCGATCCCTTTGGACCTGCAATTGGGGGAATTGTGAAATTAGGGTTCTCGATTTTTTTTCTTTTTCTATTTTCAATAACTGGGGGAGTCGAAGGCTAGAAGCCACGTTGATGATTTGGCGGGAAAATATGAAATATATATATATATATATTTTTTTTTTTTTTCTTTCTTCAATTTTTGGTATTATTTTTTTACCTCATCTTCTATTATTCAATATATTTATTTTAGTAGATCATCCACACACAATTTTACTTGAAATATTGAAAAATATATGTATAGTTAAACATATTAAATATTTGAAATAAAAATAAATCAATATTAAAGTTAATAAAATAATATTAGTAAAATAGTAGATACAAAAAATATATATACATATATATAGGCATATAAATTTATTCACACACAATAAAAAAACATAGTAGAACCATGTATCAACGAGTGAAAAAAAAAAAAATTCAACTTAATATTGCCAAAAGTTTAAAATTAAAATTGATCAAATTTTAATACTGCAAAAAAGAAGTTTCAATTAGTGCTCAATTTTCGAAAATCCAATCACCAATTAAAAAAAAAAAAATGAATACCAATCCGTCTTAATTTTTCTATTCAATTTGTTGATGCTTCTAAAAAGTTTAGAGAAGTTGTAATCTGCAAATGAATAAAAAAAAAAAAAAAAAATTGAAATCGATAAGAAAGCTATCCAACAATTGGAAGTCGGTAAGCTTTGTTACGATGAGTTGGAGTACGACAAACAATACTTGAAGGTGTCGGAATTTGAATCAATGATCTTACGGTCACAAGTCTATCCCTACACTACTAAATTATCTTTTACGAAACACAAATTTGTCATTTATTCTTTTATTTCCTTGCATTTTTCCTTCTCTTGTTTTGTAGATTAATGTGATTTGATTTCTAATAAACTACGGGTGTGTTTCTTTTGATAAATTTGGAAAAAATTTAGTTTGAATTTGATATGAAAATAATGTTTTTATGTAATGTTTTGCGAGTCGAGAAAAATAAAATTCAAATAGTAAAATTTAGGGAAACTGTGATAAAAAAAATCGATCCAAAAATATTTAATTTTTAAATAAAAATAATCAATAAAAAAGACTTAATCAAATCAAAAGTAAGATAACAAATCTCATATTGATTGAATCAAATCAATATAATTATAATCTCTCACAGTTAATATACATAATAAAAATAGCGTATATCTTACATCAAAATACGATATTTGTTGTGTTACTAAACACTATATGGTGCATTATAAATAATACTTAATTGTCTGTTCACTGAAAATATAATTGTTTATTTTTTTCACACAAAATTTTAAAATAATTGTATTTTATAAATAATAGAGTAATATAATTTAATGATAAAAAGATACTTCTACTTTTAGACTCATTTATTTTTATTAGTATTTATTGTAATATTATATAAAATATAAAATAAATTTTATTAAAATAAAAAATATAATTACTAGAAACGAGATATATACTATCTATTTTATTAATATCCTAATTGACTCAAATCACAAATCCGCTGATAATATAATATAAATATGTATTAATATAATATTTTGGATGTAAAATCAAATTTTAGTATAATATAATAATAAATAAATAAATAAATATTCAATTTCATATTTAATAAAAAAATCATAATGTAAAATTTCATTAGTACACAAACACATGAAGATAATTTACAGTACCCGACGTTACGCATCCAATTTTACCAAACAATTCTACCACCAATCAATTCTCTTCATTCCATCCATTTTTACCAATCAATTCAAATTTAAAATAAAATTAATTTAAAAAATAACAACTCCTATTATAAATCCTTTCTCTGCCCCTTATCCCCAACGCCCGGTGACTGTGTTTTCACAGCATCCCCTCTGGTAAATGAACATTTTGAAGGGTAAATATTATCTACCCTCGACGTCGCCGATGACCGGCCGTCGCCTCGCCGGAGGCTAATCTCCGGCTGCGACGAAGTAGGCGCATTTCCAGTCAGCGTCTTGACGGCGAATTCGACGGAGGGATCGCCCCAGATATTGGCAGAAGGCGCCGTGGATGCCGAGGCTTGATTAGGCGACGCCAGGGACGACGTCGGGCTGACACCTAAACTACGACGGTAGTCCGCTCCCGTCAATTCCTCGACTGGGATTTCGCCCGTCAGAAGCTTGAAGGCGAACGCGATGCACGGGTCCATCAGAAATTGTTGCAGCAACGCATCCAGCCGCTGCTTTTCGTCGATGTTCTTGCCGCCGCCGTCGATTGACGGCAGACTGAGCTGATTATCATCCGGGTTTCTCCGATCGTCGGTTTGCCCTTCGGTGTCGATCTCGGGCGCCATAGATTTGCGAGTAGCTTTGGCGGGTTTAAGATCTGATTCGATCTCGATTTTCACTCCGGCGAGTCTTTTCGAAGTTCTCCGAGGTAAGTCACTTGCCGACTTTCTTTTAGAGCCCCTCGACTTCGATGTCGAAAGACTCGAATCCCGCTGGCCTTCCACCGCGCTTTCTGTCGGATTTGGCCTGTTCGTTGTCTCAGGCACGGTGATGGTAGCGGTGGCGGCGACGGAGTTTTTTACAGCACCTACTGGGTTTGCAGACAGACAGAATTCGACAAACGGTTACGATAAATATCGATATGGGATTTTAAAAAAGCTCGTAAATACATCAATAGACATTTTATGTACCTGTTTGGGACGACGACGAGTCTTCCACGGCATGATCTTTCAGTTTATTCGCCGCCAATCTTAGACTCCGTCTTCTTTCTCCCGTTTTGAGTAAAGACTTTTTCGAGCCTACAGTTTAAAATCCAAAAACGCAACGACATCAGCGAGGAATGACGGAAAAATGCATCTCGTCAATAAATGAAACTCAATACACACTAAACATAATGCAAAATAATGTGCCAATGTCTGGTGAATAACAGACACTACGGCGCCTGGTTTTAGTCTGTCCGAAATTATATCTACTTTCTTGTTAGCGGAACATTTTAAGACAGTAGCAATTTTCAGGCTTAAATGCAATAAAAAAGCGCAGACGCTATTCTGTAATCTAGGAGCATAATTCAGACAACTGCAGCACTATCTAACTTTCCTATAATGGTGCACAAACATTTTAACATCGGACACAAGTTTTAAAACTAAATGTAGGAAGTAAGAAGCAGACGCCGTTACATAATCTAGGAGCATTATTCCGACAAAAGGCACATGTTTGGGCTACAAAACATAAATGCCTTTAATACCTGACTTTCCAATCTTATCGCGCAATAAACTTTCATCCACATTGTCGCTGATTGACATTTGTCCTTCCGCCTCGGCACACGACTGGGAAAAAAGCACAAAGCAAGATAAGTTGTAAGAAGCTTCCACAACATTTATTTCTATTAAATATCGATCCAAACAATAATATCTAGGAAGCATAAAGAATGACAAAAATATACTTCATTTTCGAACAGCGACAACCATAATGTAAGCATATGTACAAACATACCTTTTCCAGACTGTCGGCATTATCATCCTTAACAGAACTTTCTAGATAACGAAGCACTTCCAGCTTTGAGCTGAATTTGAGGCTATTATCGGGATTGACGTAATACTATAGAAAATCCAAAGGACAGAAGTTATTACAAAACAAAATCTAACAAACTACAAAGACGGAAGATTTTCCGTAAGTGCTGAATGACAATGTAAAGATCAAACAAAACATAGAATCCAAGTCAAGACAATCTACAAACAGTTCATGCTCAGTCGAACTAAGATCGGATAGAAATTAGCAAAATCATTCTAACTTCAGCTTTAGCAACTTTCCAAAACAATCTTTTTCTAGCAAACTACAAAGACAAAAGATTCGTAATAATGCCATTTGCGAATGCCGGCAGCAGTTCCATTTTAGTAATCGATGAATGACAAAGTAAAGATCAAACAAAACACCAAAATCCTAGACAGGACAATCTACAAACAATTCATGCTCATTCGAACTAAGATCGAATCGAAATTAACAAAACCTCTCTATCTTCAACTTTAGCAACAATTCTACACACCAATTCAATCCAAAAATAGCCAAGAACCCAATCATCACCATCATCGTCTTCATCATCAGTTGTTCCAATTGCCCTAATCTAAAGTTTTTCAAGTTAAAGTTTTCAACATTACACATTTCGATTCAACCTCAGAAAACAGAATTAAGCAAGCATTTTCATGCCCTAGAAACACCAATTTCTCAATCTATCGCAAAATCAAAGAATCCATAAAACAGGCAAAGCATACAGAAGTTCAATCCTTAAAACCATAACCCTAAATCTCAACCACGACAAGTTCATAAAATTTCGATCATCTTCCAACACAATTACTTACCCTATCTTTCTTCCCATAGCTTCGAGCCTTCACTTTAACCTTCCAACCCGCAGGCAGCCATTCAGGGTGTTCGCAGCCCATCACCAAATTTCACTCCAATAAACCCTAAATCCCAAATCCACAAATCACAAAAACTCAACAACAAAAGGGGCAAACACCAAAATCAAGCAATTCCCCTATTCTCCAACCCAATCGACACTTCCGCGATTCGAAAACTGAAGAGTAAAGCAATCGATCGCCAGAAAATATATAAAAAAGAGAGAAACGAATGGGGTAAACAGTAGCGAGGACGATGTGAAAAATGGTGGGAGGAATCGCACAAAGACGCAGAGAGGAGACAACCACGTGTAGGCAGACTTTCTATAGCACACCGAGAGAGCCGCCAAAACGGGTCCAACATGATTCCATTAAATAGGGGCGTCATGGTTTCGATTTTCTTAGAATTTTCCTAATCCCTAATTTCGTTTCTTCTTCTTTCTCCTCAGGATTTTCCACAATCTCTCTGAATTTATTTACCCTATCTGCTCAGATACCATCGACCCTTTGTCGATTCAAGAAATTAAAGAATATGTGCAGCAAGATTACTTTTTTTCCTTTTTGGATTTCGATTTTTTTTTTTTTTTTGTTTTCTGCAAAGTTACCTCCTTTGTTGCAATTCAATATCGATTTTCTTTGAATTTGATGTAATATAATAAGCGTTGTCGATATTGTGGGCTCAAACTGGAACCCACCGATATCTAAGCATTGATTCTGCAAATAGAAAGTGTCATTGTCATCTCAAGGCAATGAAATCTTGTGGATTTTATGTAGGATAGTTGAAATCAATATGTAGTGTATAGTTATGATTAAATTCAAACTTTACATAGTGTAGCCGTTACTTTTCGCACCAGTAATCCAACTTAGCTTTTTATGTATATATACATAACTAACACACTCAATATTTTTTCATATTTTCTACTATATGTAGACATTAATTAATTATTATTTTTTTTTAAGAAAAATATATCAAATTTTCTATTATTTGTCAAATTTATACAGAAATTTGACCCCATGATCACTAGACTATTCAGTATAATTTGCGAAATTTTCTGAAAAGATTTTCTGGACCTAAAATTCTATTTCATTTATTTGCAGTTCAATTAATGTTGTAAATTTTATTTATTTATTAGTATATAACGAAGATTGTACCATACACTTAAGTTACGTGTATTATTACAAAATTATAAATAGCAAAAAATGACTTGGTGAGCAATAATCCGAATATTTCTATACTTGGTTTGAGAAAAAATGTCATCTTATGTTATTCATGATGTTGTAATAACAATCTCTATTTCAACGCATTTGCAACAATATTTGTTATTCATGATGTTGTAATAACACTCTGTTTCAAAGCATTTGCTACAATATTGGTTGAGTACTAACATAATGAATAATTATTGTAATATTATTTGAACTACAAGTAAATATAATAAAATTTTGGCAAAATTGTCCATAACTTTCCTTGTGGTTTTCTAAACTCAGCGTAAATCTTCCCTCTACTTTAAAAATTGCATGACACCGCTTTATACTTTAAAAAATATTACATGAAATCACTCTGTGGTTTCGAAACTTAGCATAAAATCCTACTTTACTTTAAAAAATTGCATGACGATCCCTTGTACTTTAAAAAATATTGCATGAAATCCCCCTGCCATGCAAAACATATAGATAAGAAATCATCCTTTTATCTCATGAGGAAAGTTTCATGATGGTGGAATTTCATGCAATATTTTTAAAGTATAAGGGGGTATCATGCAATTTTTAAAGTATAGGGAGATTCTACGCTGAATTTCAAAACCACAGGGGAGTTATAAACAATTTTACCTAAAATTTTCAGATAAAATGACGTTTTCAACAAATTTCGCAAATCACAATTTTACTTATTTATTTTCTTATTTTGCCTAATTATTATACAGGGACGTCATATTTAAAAAGTACTATTTGTTTGTACATTTTTAATAAAACAAAAGTGTATGATTTGTGGTGGCGGACAGGGGAATGTGAGATCAAACTCGCAATCTTTTTTAGTATCAATTGTCACAATTCGTCTAATATAATTTTTCTAATCAGATTCAATTTCCATGCTACTAGGTTTGATCGAAATTTACCCAAAATACACTTGATAAGTAATGCCCGCAAATTTCCTTGCTATAATAATAAAAAATGTATAAAAAGTTATATATAAAGATAAACATTTTATTAATTAAATATATAATTATATAAGAAAATTAGAAATTTTTTTAAATTAATTTATAAGTTTTTACTACAATTATAATTTATAACATATAGTACTATTTTTTTAATTAAAAATAAAACTGTAATTTGTTTGTTTGAAAGTTTAAATTTAAATAAATTAACATTAAATTATTATAGGAGATACAAAAATTAAGAATTAAGGTAAAATATAATTATTAAATAATTAAAAAAATACAATAATAATTGCGAACGAGAATTTGCGCATGGGCGCCGACGAACTTGCGTAATCGCGAGAAGTCCAGTAAGTCTTATCGTTTAAAGAAAAGAGAACACGTAACAAGGATTCTATAGGTGAACCTGCGGAAGGATCATTGTCGATGTTTGTCCCGGCAGACAACAGCGAATTTGTGACCCGATATACAAATGCCGGTCAGGCCGTCCATCGAGACAGAGTGGGCGCCCCAAAAAACTCCTGCGCGGATTTTCGTGAAGATGTAGGCAGCGAAAAGAGATTTCCTACGATGCACGTCGCCGCAAAAAATCGCGAGCGACGACCTTATCCGCCGTTCACGGACCCGTCGTCCAGCCGTATATTGCGAACGAGGATTCGCGCACGGGCGCCAACGAACCCGCGTCAACGCGAGAAGTCCAGAAAGCCTTATCGTTTAGAGAAAAGAGAGCACGTAACAAGGATTCTATCGGTGAACCTGCGGAAGGATCATTGTCGATGTCTGTCCCGGCAGACAACAATGAACTCGTGACCCGACGTACGAATTCCGGTCAGGCCGTCCATCGAGACATAGTGGGCGCCCCAAAAAACTCTTGCGCGGATTTTCATGAAGATGTAGGCAGCGAAAAGGGATTTCATGCGATGCACGTCGCAGCCAAAAATCGCGAACGACGACCTTGTACGCCGTTCACGGACCCGTTGTCCAGCCGTATACTGCGAATGAGGATTTGCGCACGGGCGCCGACGAACCCGCGTCAACGCGAGAAGTCCAGTAAGCCTTATCGTTAGAGAAAATAGAACTCGTAACAAGGATTCTATAGGTGAACCTGCGGAAGGATCATTGTCGATGTCTGTTCCGGCAGACAACAACGAATTCGTGACCCGACGTACGAATGCCGGTCAGGCCGTCCTTCGAGACAGAGTGGGCGCCCCAAAAAACACATGCGCGAATTTTTGCAAACATGTAGACAACGAAAAGGGATTTCCTGCGATGCACGTCGCTGCAAAAAATCGCGAGTGAAGACCTTGTTCGCCGTTCGCGGACCCGTCGTCCAGCCGTATATTGCGAACGAGGATTCGCGCACGGGCGCCGACGAACCCGCGTCAACGCGTGAAGTCCAGTAAACCTTATCGTTTAGAGAAAAGAGAACAAGTAACAAGGACTCTATAGGTGAACCCGCGGAAGGATCATTGTCGATGTCTGTCCCGGCAGGCAACAGCGAATTCGTGACCCGACGTACGAATTCGGTCAGGCCGTCCATCGAGACAGAGTGTGCGCCCAAAAAAACTCCTGCGCGGAGTTTTTAAAGATGTAGGCAGCGAAAAGGGATTTCCTGCGATGCATGTCGCGGCCAAAAATCGCGAACGACGACCTTGTCCGCCGTTCACGGATCCGTCGTCTAGCCGTATATTGCGAACGAGGATTCGCGCACGGGCGCCGACGAACCCGCGTCAACGCGAGAAGTCGAGTAAGCCTTATCGTTTAGAGAAAATAGAACTCGTAACAAGGATTCTATAGGTGAACCTGCGGAAGGATCATTGTCGATGTCTGTCCCGGCAGACAACACCGAATTCGTGACCCGACGTACGAATGCCGGTTAGGCCGTCCATCGAGACAGAGTGGGCGCCCCAAAAAACTACGGCGTGGATTTTTAGGAATATGTAGGCAGCAAAAATTGATTTCCATTTTTTGGGGTGCCCACTCTGTCTCGATGGACGGCGTGACCGGAATTCGTACGTCGGGTCACGAATTCGCTGTTGTCTGTCGGGGCAGACATCGAAAATGATCCTTTCGCAGGTTCAGCTACAGAATCTTTGTTACGAGTTCTCTTTTCTCCAAAAGATAAGGCTGACTGGACTTCTCGCGTTCACGCGGGTTCGTCAGCGCCCGTGCGCGAATCCTCGTTCGCAAATATACGGCTGACGACGGGTCCGTGACCGGCGGACAAGTCGTCGTTCGCGAATTTGGCCACGACGTGCATCGCAGGAATTCTATTTTGGCTGCCTACATATTCGCGAAAATCGCGCAGGAGTTTTTTGGGGCGCCACTCTGTCTCGATGGACGGCTTGACCGGCATTCGTACGTCGGGTCACGAATTCGCTGTGGGTTGTCGCAGTAGACATCGAAAATGATCCTTTCGCAGGTTCAGCTACAGAATCTTTGTTACGAGTTCTCTTTTCTCCAAAAGATAAGGCTGAGTGGACTTCTCGCGTTTACGCGGGTTCGTCAGCGCCCGTGCGCGAATCCTCGTTTGCAATATACGGCTGGACGACGGGTCCGTGACCGGCGGACAAGGTCGTCGTTCACGAATTTTGGCCGCGACGTGCATCGCAGGAATTCTATTTTGGCTGCCTACATATTCGCGAAAATCCGCGCAGGTGTTTTTTGGGGCGCCCACTCTGTCTCGAAGGACGGCCTGACCGGCATTCGTACGTCGGGTCACGAATTCGCTGTTGTCTGTCGGGGCAGACATCGACAATGATCCTTTCGCAGGTTCAACTACAGAATCTTTGTTACGAGTTCTGTTTTCTCCAAAAGATAAGGCTGACTGGACTTCTCGCGTTTACGCGGGTTCGTCAGCGCCCGTGCGCGAATCCTCGTTCGCAAAATACGGCTGGACAACGGGTCAGTGACCGGCGGACAAGGTCGTCGTTCACGAATTTTGGCCGCGACGTGCATCGCAGGAATTCTTTTGGCTGCCTACATATTCGCGAAAATCCGCGCAGGTGTTTTTTGGGGCGCCCACTCTGTCTCGATGGACGGCCTGACCGGCATTCGTACGTCGGGTCACGAATTCGCTGTTGTCTGTCGGGGCAGACATCGACAATGATCCTTTCGCAGGTTCAACTACAGAATCTTTGTTACGAGTTCTCTTTTCTCCAAAAGATAAGGCTGACTGGACTTCTCACGTTTACGCGCGTTCGTCATCGCCCGTGCGCGAATCCTCGTTCGCAATATACGGCTGGACGACGGGTCCGTGACCGGCGGACAAGGTCGTCGTTCACGAATTTTGGCCGCGACGTGCATCGCAGGAATTCTATTTTGGCTGCCTACATATTCACGAAAATTTGCGCATTAGTTTTTTGGGGAGCCCACTCTGTCTCGATGGACGGCGTGACCGGCATTCGTACGTCGGGTCACGAATTCGCTGTTGTCTGCCGGGGCAGACATCGACAA